TGAGATGGGCTTTTAAACCAGTCAGCTTGGAATGAGTTTTTAAAAAACCAAAAGGAGACAGAGAGTTATCGAATCTGTCCATGCTTTTGAGGGGAAAGGAGACATTTGTCATGGCACAGATCGGGTGAGAGGGTATGTTTTTGACAAATGAGTTCAGTGCTCAACAAAGAAGTTAAATTTACCCATCACTGGTTCTAACCTTGAATCCATTGTCCCATCTTTCCCTGCAGTCTCAGAGGAAATAATTCCTTTTCTTGTAAAGTGAATCCCTTCATCTGTACTCTAGTTTATTCATTGAGAAAACATTTATTTGATATCTAAAATGTATTGTTGGTGTTGAGGTACAAGTATTAAACATGATAGAATTCTTTACCTCATGGAATTCACAGTCTAACGGGATAGGTAGAAAGTAACTACCCACTTCAAAAACAATGTGGTCTGCAAAGCCTCAAAGATGAGTGGTTAGTCAGAAGGCAAGGGAAGAGAAGACATTTTAGGCTGTTGGAAAAACCATGGGCACGGACTAATGTTGCCCACTTAGGGAACTACAAGTAGTTCTAGATGCTTCTAGATGTTTCTAGTTAAGCACTGTGACTGTAGAGGAGGCTGGGAAGAAAAGCTGGAGCTAGGTCCTGATGGGCTAATGAACTTGTTCTCTAGCCTGTAGGCCGGCAGTTCTGAACAGCAGTGGTATTGCTTATGGAGGGGCATTTTGGACATTTGTGGGACATTTTTCATTGCCATGGTAATGGGAGGTTTAGTAGTTGGGCCACAGATGCTAGACGGCAATGTGAGAACAGAGCCACATAATTAAGAATATTATTTTAAAGTAGGTATTTACTTTTCTACCTGTCCTGCTAGGTCATGCATTCCACAAGAGTAAGAATTTTATCTCGTCAATCTTTGTACTCTAACACTGGCAATACATTTTGGTTGTCAAAAGCCCTGAATTCTGCATGATTTAGATCCCCTGAGTTCAGTATGATTCTCAAATGTTCCACCAAACATTTGTGTAGGGCATCCTATATAACTAAATTCAGTATGTTATTACTTGTCCTAACACTAGTGTTTAATCTAGTAATGGAATGGCTTCTGATCTTCTCTTAAATCCTAATTTACTCATTCCTTATAATTAGGTGCAGACATCTGAGTGCTTCCTTGAGTCTTCTATCTGCATTAAGTCCAACCATTTATGTGTTAAGATACCTATTATTTTACCACCAGCTATTGTCTTTTATTTCTGTTTTATATTATAGTTAGGACATTTTATTGGTGTTTTGAAAATGTGTGTATAGATAGCTTATAGCTTATATTATCTATGAATTTCATTTTAGGTTAGTAAAGGTGCTATTATTTAAAATATTTATTAACAGAAGTGATGGGAGGTGCCTGGGTAGCTCAGTCAGTTAATCTGGCTTCAGCAGGTCATGATCTTGCGGTTCATGAGTTGGAGCCTCCCATCAGGCTCTGTGCTGAGAGTTCAGAGCCTGGAGCCTAGAGCCTGCTTTGGATTCTGGGTCTCCCTCACTGCCCCTCCCCCACTCACACTCTTTCTCTCTCTTAAAATAAATAAACATTAAACATTTTTTAAAAAATTTATTAGCGGAAGGGAGACTAACATCTGGTAGGATTAAGAGTCACTCTGTAGCCATTGATTTTCAAATGTTATTTAATTTTAATTAAAAAAATTTTTTTAAGTTTATTTATTTTGAGAGAGACAGAATGCACGCAGGGGAGGAGCAGAGAGAGAGGGAGAATCTCAAGCAGGCTCCACACTGTCAGTGCAGAGCCTGACAGGAAGCTCAGGTGAGCTCATGAAACTTGGAGATCATTACCTTAGCTGAAATCAATAGTTGGATGTTCAACTGGGTCGCCTTCGGCCCAGGTCATGATCTCATGGCTCATGAGTTTGAGCCCCACATCAGGCTCTGTGCTAACAGCTCAGAGCTTGGAGCCTGCTTCGGACTCTCTGTCTCCCTCTCTTTCTGCCCTTCCGAACACTCGTGTTCTGTCTCTCTCTCCTTCAAAAATAAATACAGTAAAAAAAAAAAAAAAAAAAAGTCAGACATTCAACTGACCAAACCACCCAGGCACCCCTTATTTAATTTCTTTAAGTAGCTTTGTGCCCAACATGGGGCTTAAACTCACAACCCCAAAATCAACAGTCACACACTCTGCAGACTGAGCCAGCCAGGGGCCCTTCAAAGTGTTGTTTTGAGCCACAGACCTCCAACTTTTCTTTGCTCGTGAGCTCCCTAAAATAATAGTAGCCTCTTCACACAATTTTAAATTGAAATCTCACATTTATTATCCATGCTGACCTTTATATATATATTTTCTTTTTTTAAGTTTATTTTGGGGGGAGGGGCAGAGAGAGAGGGAGAGATACAATCCTAAGCACTGCCAGTGCAGAGCCTGATGTGGGGCTTGAACCTACAAACTGTGAGATCATCACCTGAACTGAAGTTGGATGCTTAACTGACTGAGCCACCCAGGCACCTTTATCTATTGTTAATAGGAGATAGAATATATTGATCATTTTATGAGTTGGAATAAACTGACGATTGACTGTAATTAGAACAAATATTTCATGATGATTCGACAAAGTTAAGATTTGTAGCTATCTTATAAATAAAGCACACTAAATACTAAATAAGTTTCCTAGCTTTTTATCCATGGTTTTTATTTAGTGTATCTGAATTTTTTAATGCTTATTTATTTACTTTTGAAAGAGAGAGAGGGATTCAGAGAATTCAAAGCAGACTCCATGCTGTCAGCACAGAGCCCAATGTGGGGCTCAAACTCACGAACTGTGAAATCATGACCTGAGCCAAAATCAAGAGTTGGACGCTTAACCAACAGAGCCACCCAGGTGCCCCTAGTGTATCTGAATTTTTTGGTGACCAGCAGAACTTTCCAGCTACATTTCTTTGGTTTAAGTCAAGTTATTGGGGTATAATTTACATACAGTAAAATCTAGTTATTAGTGTATTCCAGTTACTTTTAAGACAAAATATGTTACTAATGTATCCTCCTTTGGCTGTGCTGATTGTAGAGAATCCCAGCATGGACCAAACGTGCCATTTCCAATGCTGGGTTTTTTTTTTTTAATGTTTTTTTTATTATTTATTTCTAGGAGAGAGAGAGAGACAGCGTGAGCAGGGGAGGGTCAGAGAGAGAGGGAGTCACAGACTGAAACAGGCTCCAGGCTCTGAGCTGGCAGTCAGCACAGAGCCCGACGCGGGGCACGAATCCATGAACCGCGAGATCATGACCTAAGCGAAAGTCAGACGCTTAACCGACTAAGCCACCCAGGCGCCCCTCCAATGCTGTTTTAGCCTTAACAAAAATATGTATATGGTGAGAAAAGGCAGGAAGCCCTATTAGTTTAAGGCACCTTGATTAATCTTTAAAAATTTGCCTAGATCAGTATCTTTATTTATATATCCTTTTGCTTGGTGTCCCAGCAGTTTTCACACCCTAGAACAATTCATCATAATTGGATTTGGCATGAGCGAGGGGCAAGCCTTTCTTTTATGAAGGAGGAGGATTGTGTGAGCACAAGGTCATTCTTTGGCAGGTCAGTTTTAGGAAGGAAGACAATAATCTGGAAATGGATTCCTTGAAACCACCTTACATACGTATACTGTGGAAAATCTGTGCTCCCCCTGTTCGAAGCACAGAGGTCCAGAGGCCTGGGGGCCCGTCTGAGAGGGCATGAGAGCAGGGGGCACTGGTTTCTGGTCCTCTACCGCTGCTACTGCATCTGGGCAGCTAGAAGTCTTCACTTGCGTCTTACATTTGCATTTTTATTTGAAGGAAGGGTTTTGCTGCTAAAAATAACAGTTTGAAAAACACATTTTCCATGGGGAACCATTTAAGGATTTTAAGGAGGGAAGTGACATAATTAGGTTTTTGTTTCAAAAGGTCACTTTGGCATCTGAACACATTGTGGAGGATGGCTTGGAGGCCCAGAGACTTGTCACAGAGGCTGTTCAAACAGTCCAGAGGAAAACTTGTAACAGCTGGCAGCTCTGGGCTCCATCCCAGGGTGGGGGCATCCACTTTTGTTGGAGCTGGGGCTTCATGGAGCTTCCCCACCCATCCAGCTGCTTCTCACATTGACATTTAAGGCCTGGCCTTTGCCTGTGTGACCCCTGCCTCAGGGTAGGTAACCTTTGACTCCTTCGTCTTCATCCTGTAGCTCTAGTCTGCCACCAAGTCCTGCTGTTTTTTCCTTCATATTATCTCATCTTTGTTTCTCTCTCTCCATTACTATTCCATCATCCTAGATCAGGCACTTAGCATTTCATGCTCCCATTTCTCCAGGAGCCTCAGAATGGTCTTCCTGCTTTTAGTCTGTCTGCCAGCCAATCCTTCATTCCCCCAGCTAGCTACTTCTTTGGTTTTTCATGACCTATTACAGCCATGCACAGAAAAGAGTACAGTTTCGTCAGATCTTGCTTCAGATTTCTCCTCCTCTTCCCAGTCTGTGGCTTCTCTGGGAAATTCTAAGTAGAGCAAAAGATTTAAGAAGCGATTAATACATTTCCATTTTCTAGAAGCTGTTGTGATCATGTTTCCTTTGCTTCTTTTTATGTGACATATTTGTGGGGGAGGGAACATGGGCCTCTTTCTCAGTGAAAGATTTTGTGAAAAAAAGTAGACTTTCAAGTGGAGTGGAGAAGGAAATATAACCGAGAATATTCTATCTGAGACTTTATGCTATCAGAGGCTCCCAAAGGGTGGTAAGTAATTACTAGGGTTGGTAATAATGGTGAAGGGTGGTATTAGGAACATAGGGAAGCAGTAAATGTACCTAGGAAAAGAGGCCAGGTGAGGAAGAACAATGGAAACTCTGGGCATGCAGACAGGTGCTGCTCCAGGCTTTGATGGAGCAGACAGGTTAAAAAAAAAAAAGTTCACCTGGAGCTTGAATCATGAAGATAAACATACACAGTTGCTCCTCCTGACAATTATTCAACTTCTTTTTAGGAATCCGTAGAAAAACTACCCATGTGGACTGTCTTTTCACAAAACCGGTATTTCTGGCCCTCACGGGATGGTCCAGTTCAACTTTCCAAATACATCCAGGTAAGGTAGAAGCAGCGATCTGATTTGAAAATATTTTCAATTTAAAACCTTTTTAAATTATAAAAGAAGATGATGTGTGAACTCAAAGTAAAAACCCTTGACCCATTAAACGTTAATAGCACTTCTCTGAGGGTATTGAATATTATGAGAAGGTGAACTGGAGTTTGACCTGTGTTAAGGATTCTGTCTTTTCCACTAGAGCTAAAAGAAATAATGCAGAATTTTTTATAAACTCTTTCTTTGCCTTAATATATTTCATTGTGTTTCTCTTTTTATACTGCCTCCTCCTCTCCCTTTATTGAAGTGCATATGAAATGTGTCTTTTCTGCCTTATTTTATCTTGCTTTCTGTGGCTTTTCCCTACCCTCTGTTGACAGGTTCCTTTGGGCTTGTCTGTCGTGGGTGCAGGAGAGAATCACATATAGTTAAAGTCCTCTTCTGCAGGTCAGGTCAGTCAAGCAGAGAGAAGACTGGAAGGTGTATGTTTTTGGTTTTTTGTTTGTTGCTTTTTGCTTTGCTGGAATCCTGTAGGTCTGGAGACATGGCCTGGTGTGGAGCAAACCTGAGGGTTCAGAGTTAGCTATGAAACAGGGTAAAGTGTAAAACTGGTCCGTGCTGAACTGGGAGTCAATGTGGGGCATCAGGCCCTGCCAGGGAGAGGATTAACATGAGCCCGGATCCATCTCATGGTGAGCCCAGAACCCAGCAAGGGTCTTGAGCTTCCTTTGGCCTGAGTGTGACTGGAGGTAGGACCTCTTTCCGCTAAGGAACAGGGCAGCTTGAGAACCACAGCAGCTTCCAGTAGCTAGCTGATTGGATGCTCGGCAGTTGAGTTCTGAATCAGAAATGTGTTTGGGCTGGCCCTATCCTAGAAGAAATGATAGGTGGTGTCTGCAAAGTAGTAGGAGGCTCTACCAACCCTACGGAGAGAAGGATGGTCTCTTCTGGTGCTGCTCAGGCCAGGAGGGTCTTTAGATTTCTCAGGTTTTATATGAATTACAGTGGGGTCACCAAATACAGTCAGAGTCTTATTGTCCACATCAAGAAGACCAGCGATTGCTTGGATGATGGGAATATATAGATAACCAAAGTTCTCATTTACATAATACCAGCCTGCCCTCAAAAAGAGAAAAACAAAGACCTTTCACTGGATGTTAATAAGAAACTACATTAAGTAATTAACTTTTGGTTTCCTGCCCTTTCCCACTTTCTAGGATTAGTGGCCAGTTGGAAGGAGGAGGAAAAATGCAAGATAATTGGGAGTTTAACCCCTAACATAACTTACAGTTGTCCTTAATATTCAGAGTTATGACATATCATGTACTTGAACTTGTCTGGGAGTCTGGGCAACAACGATGTACCGGAGTCTGTAGGGGTTCCAGAGAGACCTGTCTGGGTCTTTGGTGGCCATAACCTTTGGAAGCATGACTTCGTGTGGTAAGTTCATGAGTCAGCAGGGTATCTATACAGAGCCTTACCTTTGAGAATATTTATACAGAGCTTACCTGGGTTCCAGTCCTCTATTAAAAAGCCATATAGGGTTAGGGGAGGAGTGGCTTCCCTCTCTGGGACTTAGTTTTCTCTTATTATTATTATTTTTTTAAGTAGGCTCTATGGCCAACATGGGGCTTGAACTCACAATACCTAGATCAAGAGTCCTATGCTCTACTGACTAAGCTGGCCTTGGACCCTAGTTTCCCATTATCTTTAAATGAGGCGATTGAACAGTATATTTATAAGATTCCTCATGGCCCTGACATTCAGTGATTCTGGCAGAGATTATGTTATTTTGGATTCGTTTCTCTTATTAAGCTATGTTGCTTACAACATATCATTTGGTTGACGTGGTCTGAAGTTAGGACCATGTCTTTTCAGGTTAACCCTTTTTAACTTTCTTATCCTTCACTTCCTTGCTCAAATAGGACAAAATCCCTTTTTACTAGTCGTGTCGGGAGCTGGAATTGGAGTTACCATCCCTCTGTGTTGAAGAAGTCCTAAGGCTGCCATTTCTAAAGGACTTGGGGCAAGAGATGTTGCTGGGGGGCTTGCCTTTGACATGGATTCCAGCTACATGCTCCTCAAAGGTAAGGGGTGTATTATTTACCTTTTCTTGTGTTCACCCCTACAGCTTGTGCAAGTCAGCCAGTGTTCATAAATAATCATACCTAAGAATAAAATGGCATTGTCCTTAATTTCCCCCGAAACCACTAGGTGTCGCCTTTATCTCGGAGAAACTAGGCCCCTCCTCTCTCCCTGCACACCTCCACCCCTCCCTCTACTCTGGGAGCTCTCAGCTTTTTGGCATGGTGATTTCTGGAAAAGAGGCTTAAAGGGGGAGACAAACTGTGAGTCTCCGAAGGGAGGTGGAGAATGGGTTTATATGTATCTCCTATATGACAGTTTGAGATCAACTCCCCGGGGTCCCATAGCAGTCCCTCCCAGCAACCATGATATCATCCCTCTTAAGCTACTCTCAGGATCAGATTGGCACACCAGATATGGGGTATCTGGGGATTGCCTTCTAGGTTGGAAGCTTGGAAGCAGGGTGGAACCCGAGGGGGATACAATGGGCCTGCATTGCTGGGGGAATGTTCTGCTCAGTCAGCCAGCCCATGAGGGGTTATCAGGTGAGATCCTGGGCTGTGCAGGGACACAAACGAGAGGAGGCTGTTCTTGGGCTGGGTCCCTGGAGCAGATGGTGTGGTAGAGGCCCAGTGGGCTATGGTGGGCCTCTGAAGATGTGGTGCGGCCTTTGTAAGGACTCAGGAAAAATCGGTCATCGGAGCCCCTTGGTCTTGAAGGGGCCAGCCTTCCAGGTGGCAGGCGTCATTTCCTGGTGAAGGAGTGAGAGGTTCCTGGCAATGGGAAGGGTGCTATGGTTTATTAGGTGGAGCACTAGTGATGGTTTATTAGGTGGAGCACTAGTGAGGATACCAAATATTTGGGGATTCCTGACTGCCTCCTGGAGACTGAAGTGTTGGAGGGACTCAGGGGACTTTAGAGACGGACCTAAGAACACCGGGATACATAAGTGAGGAGAAAAGAAGTTCCGGGCCCCTGGCAATGTGCAAGGTGGAGAGACAGCGGCAGGGTGGGTCAGGGGTTTGGGGGAGACAAGGCTGGGCTCTTAAAGTGAGAGGACGACCAGGAACCTCGCCGCCCTGAAAGCTCCTGGCACGGAGCACCCGAGTTGTCACTGGGTGGGTTTGAGACCTGGGAGGTCCCTGGGCGCCAGGGTAGGGGGTGGGGGGAGACAGCAGCCGCCGGAGGGTGGGGCCGGAGGGGGAGGAGGAGGGGCCGTGGGGGAGGGGGCGGGGAAGGCGCGGGGCGGGGGCGGGCGGCCTGCCCAGGGAGTCACACTCGGCCGCCGCCGGCGCAGCTAGCGGAGACTGCCCGGCCGCAGCGACCTGACCTGGACGAGCGGCGCGCCCGGGGGCCCAGGCGGGGGGCGGGAGGAAGCTCCCGGCAGCGCCGGCCGCCCGGGCCCAGGAGGAGCGGAGCGGAGCGGAGCTGGGACACGGGCGGGGCCGCCGCAGCTCCGGATGGGACCAGCGCCCTGGGCCCGTTAGTCCAAGCTGGAGCTTCTGGAGAAGCCTTCACAGGGAGATTTGCCCCTGCCTTTCCCTCTCCTCCAGCCCAGGCCTCGCTTCGCTCCCCGCCCGCCCATGGTCCCTGTCCTTCCGCGGCACGGGCCCCCTCCCACCTTACCCCCTTGGTCTTCCTTTTCGCAGCTCTCAGCCCTCCCAGCCCCTTCAGCTGTGAGGTCTCCTCAGGCCTTTCCTTTGTACCAGCCTGCCCCCCACCCCCACCCCATCCCAGTCTCGGATCCCCTTTTCCTTCTCAGCTAAAGCTCAAGATTCATCAGGCTCCTTCACGCCTCACTGGCCCCATCCCAGTCGCAGGCCCCCTTGGTCCCTACCTTTTCCTGCCACCCTACTCAGCCCTCAGTCCTTGCCCCAGGCTGGTGGACCCACTCCTTACCCACCCCCCGGGGCTCCCTCCCATCTCCTCCTCACCCGCCCCCAGCACTTTCTGCGTCGCAGCCTACCTAGCTTATCCTCACTTCTCTCCCTGGCCATCTTCCCCAGGTTCCAGGCTGGGTGGTGCCTGTGCCTCCCCCGTAGGCCAGAGCGGCACCAGGGTCTGGGGGTGGCAGGGCCACTGCTTTCTCCCATGGCACTGCCATCACTCCTGCTGTTGGTGGCAGCCCTGGCAGGTGGGGTGCGCCCTCCGGGGGCGCGGAATCTGACGCTGGCGGTGGTGCTGCCGGAACACAACCTGAGCTATGCCTGGGCCTGGCCACGGGTGGGTCCTGCTGTGGCACTAGCTGTGGAGGCGCTGGGCCGGGCTCTGCCCGTGGACCTGAGGTTTGTCAGCTCTGAACTAGATGGCGCCTGCTCTGAGTACCTGGCACCGCTGCGCGCTGTGGACCTCAAGCTGTACCATGACCCCGATCTTCTGTTGGGTCCCGGTTGCGTGTACCCCGCTGCCTCTGTGGCCCGCTTTGCCTCACATTGGCGCCTTCCCCTGCTGACTGCGGGTGCTGTGGCCTCTGGTTTTGCAGCTAAGAATGAGCATTATCGTACCCTGGTGCGCACTGGCCCCTCTGCTCCCAAGCTGGGTGAGTTTGTAGTGACATTACACGGGCACTTCAATTGGACTGCCCGTGCTGCCTTGCTGTATCTGGATGCTCGCACAGACGACCGGCCTCACTACTTCACCATCGAAGGCGTCTTTGAGGCCCTGCAGGGCAGCAACCTCAGTGTGCAACACCAGGTGTATGCCCGTGAGCCAGGGGGCCCTGAGCAGGCCACCCACTTCATCCGGGCCAACGGGCGCAGTGAGTGTGGCCCAGGCTATCTTAGGGTCAGGGGAGGAGGGTCGCTGTATCCCTGGAGCTCAGCACTGGGACATTGTGGATGGAGGTGGGCACGGAGATGTATGTGGTGGCTGGGGTCAAGAAGCACATGTGGACAGAGCACCTGTGAGAAGGCTAAGACAGTGTATTAGGGGAGCTTGTGGATGGCTCAGGCAGATGTAAACAAGGAATAGGAGAGCATGAGAGGCGACGCCTGTGTCAGGGAAGAAGGTGGGATTGGGGGGGGGGACTGATTTTCGGGAGCAACATGAGTGCCCTAGAGTAGTGAATGTGGTTGATGGCCACGCCAGAATGAGTGTCATCTCTGAGCAGAGAATTCTCAGATGGGGCACCAAGACCCCTTGGTGGCAGAAAAATAGTAAGGACTCCATAAATGGGCTTTTGGGTTCAGCTCATTTGTTTGGGAAAGACAGGGTAAGGCTGCCACTGACAGTAATTCTGAACAGTCAGTGCCTTTGAGCCTAGGGAGAGGCAGGACAGAATGGGGCAGTGAGGAGGGCTGGGTGGGCTGCAGCAGTGCAGCTCTGGGAAGAGGAGGGGCTTAAGGCTGACAGCTCCCTTCCTCTGGAGTCTGGAGTCAGACTCTGACCTCTGCCAGATGGTCTATAAGGCCCCAGGGTACTTATGACATAGACTCCAAAGGGGAGGGATGAGGAACATATGTTGGGTGGTTGATAGGTTAGGGCACTTTCTTCCTGGCTAAAGATGGAAATGCAGATGGTTCAGAGAGGGGGCTGACAGGGGACTGGGGACTTTCTCAGAATGCCCTTCTGTTTTACACTTGCTCCCAGTTGTGTATATCTGTGGCCCTCTGGAGATGCTGCATGAGATCCTGCTTCAGGCCCAGAGGGAGAACCTGACCAATGGGGATTATGTGTTCTTTTACCTGGATGTCTTTGGGGAGAGTCTTCGTTCAGGCCCCACACGCTCTACAGGCCGGCCCTGGCAGGACAATCGCACCCGGGAACAGGCCCAGGCCCTCAGAGAGGCCTTTCAGGTATCATTTGTGCCAAACTTGGAGGAGGGGGAAGAGGAGCTTCTTTGGAGATTCTCTGTCTCTCATAAGACCCACAGAAACCCCAGGAACAGGGCAGGAATTATGAGCTACAGGAGTGAAATGAACGGAGGCTTTTTGAGTCTCATATCATTCTTACTTCCCCACTTTTGTGACTCTTTTCTCATTACTAAGGCTACCTCCCAAGATCCTGGAACATTCTCCTAAGTCTCACTAGCAGACTATACTGTGAAGGAGAAAGGTTCGGGAAAAGACCTGGTCCCAGACCCTGGGAAGACTTCCATCCTTTCTGGATAGGCGAGGCATGATTGAGGTACAGTTAGATGCAAATACAAGAAAGAATATGATTATGTGTCCTGGAACAGACACTAAGAGCTTTAGGGGTTCAGACGAGGGAGAGCCAACGTTAGCTGGGTTTAGGGAAGCCTTTTTATAAAGGAATGAGAATCTTTTGTGACTTGAGAGATAGATGCCATAGTCCTAGTCTCAGTAGGAGGGAGGATCCAGGTAGCCTGAGCAAAGAGATAAAAGATAGAAATGGATATCATGGAGAACCAAGAAGATACTGACCTGAGGAGAAGAAGGATTGGCTTGAAGCAGATGTAGGAAATAATGTTGCAAAGGTATAATCAGATTAAGGAGAGCTCTGAACCCCAAATTAAGGCATTTGGACTTGGATGTGGGGTCCTTGAGGTTTTTTTGTGAAGAGAAATATAAAAACAAGAAGAGGAGGAGGCTAGAGGCAGTGAGACCTCCTGCACTCGGGTCAAATAGAGTGAGGTGATACAGGCTTGAAGGACAGTGGCAGTTGTAGGAATGGAAAGAAATGAATTTAAGAAACAATTTGCAGGGGAGATTGACATGACTGTTCATTTCACTCCTCTGCTCAAAACTTTCAGTGACTTAATTCCTACAGAATAAAATCTTGACTTCTTATCATGACATTTCAGACCTTCTACAGTCTGTATTCAGCCCAGTTTTTCAGTCTTGCCTCCTAGTGCCCCTTACACCCAGTACTTCAGCCAACCAGACCTCTCTCAGTTCCCTGACCCCTGGGCCTCCCTGCCCCCTTGCCGTTGTGCTCTTTGCTCCTTTTTTCTAGAATGTTTCTAGAATGTTCTTCCCTCATCCCAAATCTCTGCCCCTTCAAATCACACCCATGAATTGTTCCCTGACTCTTCCACCAGCTTTTCACTCATTTATGCATATGTGTTTCTTATTTATCCATATCCCTCCTTTTTCTGAAAAAGGATTTGAAGTAGCATATAGGATAACTTTAAGGCCCTTTCAACCCTGAGATTCTCTGAGCCTAAAATTCAGTAGATCTTTATAAGGGCTAGACTTGGGTGGTCATCTTCTCTAATAAGTAAAATTTTGTGTGGCTGTGATTATATATTTGGTTATTTCTGACTGTGAATGACACTTGAGGTCACACTTGAACCTGGACAGTGGCAGGATAGGTTTTGTTTATGCTGTGACTTTTGCTTAAGACAATCTTCTCACCTTTGTCTGCCTAGATAATGTGTGTGTATTCTTTAAGACTCATATCAGTTATTTTCCCTTTGAGGAAACAATCCTTGAATCCCCAGGTTAGACTGAATTTCCTATTCTTGTGCTTAACTCTGTCTCCTATAGAACTTACCACATTACCAGTCAGTGTTTGAGTCATTTGAATACTGGCTCATTTTATTAGTGTCTATTGAGCACATATTATGTCCCAGTCACTGTGCTAGGTACTGCTATACAGTGGAGAACATAACAGATGTAGCCCCTGCCTGGAGCTTACATTTAGTAGGTTAGACAGACATTAAATAAGCAGATAAATACAAACATAGGACAACTTGCAATGAGTGTTACAACCCCACAAAAAACAAAACCGCGGGGAAAAAGCGCTTCTCCTGAGAAGGGAATAGCAAAGGAATTGTACTTTAGCTAGTGTGGTCAAAGAAGATCTCTGTGGCTCTCCTGGATGGGAGGGCTCCATAGCTTTTTGGGCTGTCTTCTTTTTTGTAGAAGGAGTACCTCTCTTCCTTGTCTGAGAATTACTACCAGTCAAGGGGCCTGGCACTTAGGTTTGGGGGAAATGAGATGTAGTCAGCTAACAATTAGAGAAATTAATTCTCAATTCTCCCACTCACTGCAGACGTTATTCAGAAAAACAAAGAGGGATTTTCCTATGACAAAAAAGAAGGGGAAATAGGTAGTCAAGAATATGCTGAGGGGGAAATCAAGGCCTTTGGGGTGGGGTGAGGGTAAGGGAGTAATGCGATGTTTTCTAGAAAATCTACTGATCCTGTTCCAGTGCTGAAGCAGGGCAAGGGGTGAGGGAAGTCAGCTCCATTCAAGGATGAAAGAGCAGAGAGTCCTTAACCCAGAGATACCTGGTCTACTGGGAGACAGGGCTCTGAAATGAACTATATTGATATGATTTTTCTCTCTCATTAAGCCATAGCTACTTGAGGGCAAGGATTGTGTTCATCTTTGTATTCCATATGCCTAGCACATACTTGTTGAACTGAATAAAGGAATGTGTTGGGGAGAAGCGGGGACAGGACTAAGAATTCGTGTACAGAGGAGTAGAGCTGGCAGGTACTATAAACCAAGATGATCAGCCAAGATAGAGAAGAATACATAGACACAATGGAACTAAATAAGCAAATGACCAGGCTCTAAGGTCCTGGAGGCCCAGGTGGTGCATTTGAGGACTACGGGATCAGAAAGCTAGGCAGAAGTCACAATCTAGGTGACCAGCGTGAGATTGCACTACAGAGGGGACACCAGCAGCTAGAATGGAAGTCAAGGCTGGACCAAGGGCTGTGTAAGGCAGAATCTCTTCTGGAGACGATTTTTTGTCTGTTTAAGCCACTGCTGACAGCGCCTCCTGATGTGGCTGGAGGGGGGTTCAAGTGTAGGCCTCAAGGCACAGGCCGGCACAGGCGCCTCAGTGTACTGGTTTCACCCACAGCTAAACCTGTTTTTGGCAGCCTTTGCTTGTTGTTGTTGTTGTTTTTCCTCACCTGGGGTCCACTGTGAAAAGGGACACCGTTATCTACCTCCCTTTACCTTCTCTCTAGCCCCTCAGCAAGCACAGAAATTCTTTGGACTTTCTTTCTTTTTCTTTTCTTTTCGTTTTTCTTTTCCTTTTTTTTTTCTTCTTTTCCTCCCTCCCTCCCTCCCTCCCTCCCTCCCTCCCTCCCTCCTTCCTTCCTCCCTCCCTCCCTCCCTCCCTCCCTCCCTCCTTCCTTCCTTCCTTCCTTCCTTCCTTCATTCCCTCCCTTCCTTCCTTCCTTCCTTCCTTCCTTCCTTCCTTCCTTCCTTCCTCTCTCTCCCTCTCTCTCTCTCTTTCTTTCTTTCTTTCTTACCACAGCAAAAACAGTCTAGCATAGCAGTTTTCAAAATGTGGTCTTAGAACCCGGGGGACTGCTGAAATCCTTTTAGAAGGACCATGAGGTCAAAACTATTTAAAAAAATAATACTAAGATATTTGCGTCCTCACTCTGACTCCTCCATGATTGCACAGTGGAGTTTTCCAGAGGCTACATGACACGTGCTGCTCTTATCACTCTGGCAGCTGTAGAAGGGGTAGTTGACTATTCCTGTGTCTTAAAAATTTGTCAGTTTTAATTTCTAAAGTGTAAACATTGGTAGATGTAATCCAAACAATGAAAAGCTCTTTGTGACCTTTAGTAATTTTTAGTAGTATAAAGGGGTCATGAAATCAAAAAGTTTGAGAACTGCTAGTCTAGCAGACATAAACTTAGAAAATTATGATGTGTTTAAAAAGTATTAAAAACCTGTTATCAGCCTTTATATTGAAATATCAATTGTGTTAAGCACAATCTTTTTGAGCTCTTTTACTGATTTCTTTACCTTATTTGTCAACAATATCCTACTCTTCTATTTTTTTATTCTTGAAACAGGTGTTACTGAACAAACCCTTCCCACCCCATCCTCAGCCTCCTTCTTTTAAATTTTGCCTGAGGGTGGGCAGAGTATTTCAAGTGTGTGATTAAGGATCCAAATGCTCCAGTAAGAATAATTACGTTATGAAGCAAACTCTAGTCTAATGTAATGAATACATATTAGAAACTGAATTTATTATTTCCTACCTAGAACAAATTGATATGTAATAAATCATATGTGATTTATCTAGTATCTCTATGTCCTCATGTACTTTCAATGAGAGGAATTAATAAAACTGGTAGAAGTCCATAGATGTTAATCTGTCATTTCACAAAGTCACATTTCACAAAATACGTTGAAGTCTTTCCCTGAGGTTGCGATGCCAATTTCCCATCCAAGGCGAAGGCTAGTCTCCGTGATTGTGTAGGCCTGGGGTGTAGGCAGAGGCCAATGTGTCTACCAGCTAAGGAAAGGGGAATGTGTGAGGTCGGTAGGAGTCAGATGGGCACCCCAGTGAGAAACAGAGATGTGCTGACTTAAGGCAAGTGAGATGCGGGTGTGGCTGAGATCACATGTGTCATTTGCTCATCTGTGAAATGTGTATGGACATATGACTATGTGTTTTCTCTGTGACACATGTCTATTACTTAGTGACATATAGGACCATGCCACTGTGCTGCTGATGGTAGGTGTCCCACACATTAAATGAATGGGTCCACAACTTTTCACAGATGAATCATTGTCTCCAAGTATTTCACCCAGTTGTCACAGAGCCTGAAATCTCTTTCATTTACTAGTTGGAGGCACCGTGTCCAAGTGGCACAAATGAAAATATAAATACTTCACTGATAACATTAACAGTGATTAACACCTCAGAGAGGAGCTGTTTTATCAGTGTTGCTCTTGATAGTGAATAGGTACCCAGAAAGGAAGGGACAGAGCAAGCAGCTGAGAACGCTGTGGCAGCCTGACAGGGAGACCTGGCTTGTGGAGGGGCTTGGGAACGGAGTTGAATTAATCTGTTTCCCAGTCTCCACCTTCCCAGAACCATGCACCTTTCATGGAAGAGTGCCACTCGCCTCTTCCCAGATGTATTGAACATATTCCACACATACATCACACACACAGGTGCACAAACAACACAGAGTTTAGTATCCCTTCAGCCTTCAGACTCACCTGTGTATATATTTCATATCATGTATATTTCACCAAGTTTCCCTATTCTGCTTCCTCTCTTCCCCAATGCCTATCTTGAACCCTTTTCACTTTCCCCATGTGCTATTGGTACAGACAGTATTGGTGATCACATACCGAGAACCGCCAAATCCTGAGTACCAGGAATTCCAGAATCGTCTGCTCATAAGAGCCCGGGAAGATTTTGGTGTGGAGCTGGCCCCCTCCCTGGTGAGTACATCTCTCTTTCCTGAGAGTCAGGCCAGGCTTTGAGGAAAGCCTCTCCTCCCTAACTCAGCATCAAGCCTGGGCCGTGGAGCCATACTTGGGAACTGTCTGCTTTTATCCAGGATTTTTCTTTCTGCCCTTCTGTCCAGTGAGGTAGGGCTGGCACTTTAGGAATGAGAGGAGGGAAGGAAGCAAACCAGAAGAGAGAAGTGGGAGAGGGAGACCCCAGAAATGGGAAAGAAGACTAGGGAGGGGCCTGACAGTTCATTTGGAGAGCACTGCTGAAGTTACTATCCCCAGATGAACCTCATTGCTGGCTGCTTCTATGATGGCATCCTGCTATATGCTGAAGTCCTGAACGAGACAATACAGGAAGGAGGCACCCGGGAAGATGGACTTCGAATCGTGGAGAAGATGCAGGGCCGAAGATACCACGGTAATGAAGAGGGCCAGATGGAGGCCAGAGGGCTGCTCTCAGTCCTGGGAGTGGAGTAGGCAGAAGTAAATACAGATACAACTGGCAGGAGGAAGTTAGTGGGGGTGTCGGAGAACGTGGTAGAGATGGACATATATTAAGAACAGGGGTGGGGAGGGACTCTGAGATAATTGGAGGAATTGGGGCACAGGAGAGGGGCATAGGGTAGATCTCAAAGTAAGGGCTACTCTTTCCTATCTTAGGTGTAACTGGACTGGTGGTTATGGACAAGAACAATGACCGAGAGACTGATTTTGTCCTGTGGGCCATGGGAGATCTGGATTCTGGGGACTTCCAGGTGATGGGGGAAGAGGCAGGGAGATTGTGGGTCCTGAATATCCAGGTTTCAAGGGTTCAGAGAGGGCAGAATCAAAGGTACTAGAGGCAGGGACTTATTTTCTCTGCTGGAGCTGCATTCTGGGTAGGTGGGAGGTTGGGAGAGAAAAGCAGCCAAATAGCTGAGGTCTGAGGGGACAGGCTGTTGGGAGCAGGCCTGGGGGCCCAGTTTTCTCCTTCCTCACAGCCTGCAGCTCACTACTCAGGAGCCGAGAAGCAGATTTGGTGGACAGGACGGCCTATCCCCTGGGTGAAGGGGGTCCCCCCCTTGGACAATCCCCCCTGTGCCTTTGACTTGGACGACCCATCCTGTGATAAAAGTGGGTGTGTTCAGGGGCTGGGAGAAATCCTTCCTCCCCTTCCTCCCATTCTCTCACCTCCCCTCCCTGATCCCCCACCCTTAGCTCTGTTTTTCCCTTGACTTGAATACTGTATACCCCCACTCACTTCTTTCCCTCCAGAAGTCTGTCTGTTCCCCTCACCCTGAGCCCCACCCCTGCCCTGTTCACGGCTCCACATAGTCTTTCTCAGGGTCCCCTCTCTCCTTCAGCTCCGCTTTCAACTCTGGCGATTGTGGCACTGGGCACAGGAATCACTTTCATCATGTTTGGGGTCTCCAGCTTCCTCATTTTCCGGTGAGTTCTGGGCTTCCCACTGACTTGTTCCCTCCCTCCTGCCGCCCAGGCCTTCCGGGGGTTAGTGGGTCTCTTTGTTTGATGTCTGCCTCTTAGGCCTAACATCTTCCTCTCTAGCCTTTCTCGTAAGCTGTCTTTTAGCTTAAGTGTTGTTTTCCCACTTTTTGGTTCTAGACTGGGTGTCCTAACTAGGGATTTTGAGTTGGGGCAAAGGTGAATTTTCCGTGAATGTTACCATTTTAAGAAAGAACTTTTACCTTTAGCCTCTATGTTTTCAAATGAGCACAGAGCATGTATCCCATATATAGAGATTGCATCCTTCTGACTCAGTCCTGCAGCGAGTCCCGCCTCGGGTATAGAAGTTGTAGCATTGGGAGCCGCAGGGAAGCCGCTGAAACCCCACTGTTGGCTTATGGGGTGGTAGGATTGGGCTTGCCAGTCAACTGAGGTGTGCAGTCCTTACAGAAAGCTGATGCTGGAGAAGGAGCTGGCTAGCATGTTGTGGCGCATTCGCTGGGAAGAACTGCAATTTGGCAATTCAGAACGATATCATAAAGGTGCAGGCAGTCGCCTCACACTGTCGCTGGTGAGCCCTTGTCTCAGCTGTCCCTCTGCTTCCCTCTGAGTTCCTGTCCTTTCGTACCCTGGACCTTTCCCAGCACATTGGCCTGTAATGACAGCCCCTGCACTGCCACCATCATCTAATGTTCCTTTCATCCTTCCGCCTCCATGTTGCCCTTGGCCCCAGCGGGGATCCAGTTACGGCTCGCTCATGACAGCCCATGGGAAATACCAGATCTTTGCCAACACCGGTCACTTCAAGGTGAACACTCATCCGCTTGTTCTGGTCCCCACCATTTCATTGTCTCATCCCCATCTGTCACCTCTTCCCACGAATCTCTGCCCCTCATAACCTTCCTTTCTGTGTCCAGCTGAGCTCCTGGTTATCCACAGTTCTCCGGTTTCTCCTAGCACCCAGGAACTAATTTCCCTTTTCCCCCTTCACTCCTGCCATCAGGGAAATGTTGTCGCCATCAAACATGTGAATAAGAAGCGCATTGAGCTGACCCGGCAGGTTCTGTTCGAACTCAAACACGTATGTAATGGTGTATGGGTTCAGGGTGAGGGGTGAAAAGGGATGGAGAAGAGGAAAGGGGGAAGTAGAGAGGGGAACAGTAAGATGGGCTAGGAGGGCAAAGGGTTTATTTATAAAGGATTTTAAGTTGTAGCTACAATGAAGAGACAGGCTCTCGTGCAGTCGTAGGTTTCTGTGTCTCTCTGAATTCTCTTTTCCTCCTCCCACCTTTTGTTGTTGTTGTTGTTAGATGAGAGATGTTCAGTTCAACCATCTCACTCGCTTCATTGGTGCCTGCATTGACCCTCCCAATATTTGCATTGTCACTGAGTATTGTCCTCGAGGGAGTTTACAGGTAAGGGAAAGGTGAAGATTCTAGGGGCAGGGGAGAAAGGCACGTGAGAGCTAGTCACATAATCTCTTCCATGTCACTACCAGGATATTCTGGAAAATGACAGCATCAACTTGGACTGGATGTTTCGTTATTCGCTCATTAATGACCTTGTTAAGGTGAGTCTTCCCCACTCTTCCTTCAGAGTTCATCCGCTTTAAAATGCCTTCGTTTCTTGATCTTTGCTTTCAGCTCCTCCTTCCTAGTCCCCTAAAAGTCCCATTTTCTCCAGTTCCCTTTATTCCTCTGGTTGGGTAATAATGGGCAAATAAAGGCTCTAGAGTTTTTAATTGGGGGAGATTTCTCAGCCACAAAGAGTCCTGTACTTGTAAAGAAGTTTTATGTTCCTGCCCTAGATATCTCTAATCTCTTGCTGCCATCTTTTTTTTTTTTTTTTTTTTAAAACCTCCACGAGCTTATATTAAGATTTCTTAGCAGGAAAAAGGTGAATGGGGCACCAAACATAGAATCATTTATTCTCTGACCAATACTTGGCATATCTGCTCTTTTGTGCAGAAAAACTGAAATTTAAGAAAAACATTTACCAGTAAAATTAAGAGAAACCAAGGAAAATTATACTACACCTGTGGTATCGTCTCATATTTTAGTTTTTAGCTATTTTCAAGTGGCCCAGAGGACCCTGGTATGAATTTGAATCTTGCATGAGTTGGACAGGTGTTTACAGCAAGTCCTGCAGCCAGCCAGTGAGTTAGCCTAGTGGAGCACTTGTACTGCACCTGAAGCTGGCTTTGGTTTTTCTGTTTAATTCTCATGAAGTTATTTAGAAGTGTGTGTGCGTGTGCGTGTGCGTGTGCGTGTGTGTGTGTGTGTGTGTGTGTGTGTGTGAAAGTTTGCCATTAAATGAGAGAGAAAATATTAGGTAAAGTTGATGTGTTGCGTAACTGTGATGTTAAATATAGGAAAAATATGACTTTTGGGAGAACAATAATTTGATGGAAAAGTGATTTAGAACAAAGCCAAAAGCCTAATCCTTTCTATATTCACAAATTTGGTGACTCCCAAAGGTTTTGTTGATATCAAAAGGAACAAATAGGAGGAGTTCACAGAGACTCGAATTATGAATTGTTTGGGTCCAGAGCTAAGTATTCAGACACAGGTGTTTTGGTTAGCATACAGAGCACTGTGTCCTTTTTCTGTTCCAGCTGAACTGATGTGGGTGGGCTCTCAGGGTTTCATTTTGGGAAGCATCACTCTGCCTTCTTAGGACCTGCTTTATGGTCCCTCACAGGCAAAGTCGTTCTCCTCTCTGCCCCATGGGGCCACATGTGTCTGGCTTCTGCATTGGCTTTGCAGCTGACTCGTACTTTTGTCCATTTTCTAGGGTTTTCCTAATTTACTATTTTCTCCACTTTCTCTCTGGCTCTCACTTTCCTCCTCCATCCTGACTTGCCTGCCTACACATGGTTCTGTGTTAAAGTTTACAACTGGTTAGTCTTCCTTGGTGCATCTAGGTACTCTTGATAGCTAGGTCTCTAGCCTTCCTATGTCTTCCTAAGTGGTGGCCTTACATTTGAGGCCATCATGGGTGTCAGTCACATCATTCCTGGAGTTCACCCTCCTAGTTCTGTTCACTATTCAGAAGACTGACTGCCCTTTCCAGGGTAATAACTGATAGCTCCCTTTGTCCCTCTCCTTAAACATTTCTCCTGTCCCTGGTACCTAGGTGCCAATACACTGTTTATGGTACCAGAAAGGGACGACTCCTATTCTGCCTGCTTCTTTGGGTAGAAACTGCAAAGGATGTCTTCCAAAAGTAGCTTATGGCTTTTATGGTCTCAAGATGTTTAGACAGCTAACTAATGCTCATCTCATAGAGAGGAGGTATCCTAAGCCATATGTGATCCAAACCCATGACTTGATCTGTATCCTGCAGGGCATGGCCTTTCTCCATAACAGCATTATTGCATCCCATGGGAGTCTCAAGTCCTCCAACTGTGTGGTGGATAGTCGTTTTGTGCTCAAAATCACAGACTATGGCCTGGCCAGCTTCCGATCAACTGCTGAACCTGATGACAGCCACGCCCTCTATGCCAGTGAGGCCTTCCCCAACAACTCACTTTTATATAGCTCCTCTGGCCTTGATCATTTCCACCTAGGGAGGGTGGGAGAGGGAGATGGAATGACAGGAATATGGGGAGCATTATGGGTTTGGGGATACTCTTTTTGAAGACCTGGCTATCCTGTTCCTTCTCTTCAGAGAAGCTGTGGACTGCCCCAGAACTGCTCAGTGGGAACCCATTGCCAACCACAGGCATGCAGAAGGCTGATGTCTATAGCTTTGGGATCATCTTACAGGAGATAGCACTTCGCAGTGGTCCTTTCTATTTGGAGGGCCTGGACCTCAGCCCCAAAGGTGAGAGTCAATCTACTACCCACAGACTCCTCTACCTGGGGGACCCTGTTCTTCATCCAAAGCCTTTATCACCCTCAGAGATTGTCCAGAAGGTCCGAAATGGTCAACGGCCATATTTCCGGCCGAGCATTGACCGGACCCAACTGAATGAAGAGCTGGTGTTGCTGATGGAACGATGTTGGGCCCAGGAACCAGCTGAGCGGCCAGACTTTGGACAAATTAAGGGGTTCATTCGCCGCTTTAACAAGTAAGAGGACAAAGGGCTCCCCAGGGATAGAAGCCTCATCAGTCTTGGTGGATGAGGTGGGTGGGGCTGGTGGGGCCAAGAAGGTGGGTTGGGTAGGAAGTCCTGGGACTCTTGAGAATCTGGGAGCAGGTACCATATTCTGCCCTCCCCCCCCGCCCAGGGAGGGTGGCACGAGCATACTGGACAACCTGCTGTTGCGCATGGAGCAGTATGCCAACAACTTGGAGAAGCTGGTGGAGGAGCGCACACAGGCCTATCTGGAGGAGAAACGCAAGGCGGAGGCTCTACTCTACCAAATTCTACCCCAGTGAGACTTTTGACACCCTTCCCCAATTTTCCTTTGGTGTTCTGCTCTGTTGGGTTCTGCCGGATCAAGCTCCTGAGAACTCACTTCCCAACTCTTAGAATCCTGCTTTATTACATCTTGACACAGTGAGCCTTTCTGGCTTTGTGCAGCGTGTTTTCATTTTGCCTCCAAATGAGCTTTGCTGCCTTCTTCCTGGCTTCCTATCCCTTCTTCTTTAGGACACTGCTCTACCATGCCTTTGCTCCAGCAAGTGTATGTAGAGCCGTCCCAACCTGAGACATTTAGTGCCCATCCCCAGGGGTCCTCTCCCACCCCTCCCCCCCCCCACCACTTAGATACTTTACCTGAGCTAGTCTGTAATGTCTTCCCAGCCACCTTCCTTCTCTTCTATCAGGCTTAGCTTTCATAACTCCTCTTCTGCTCCAGCCATACACCCCTTTCCTCTCTCTCCCCATCTCATCCTCTTTCTCTGAGTTTGGCTCATACTGCACCCTTGCTTCCTAGTTCAGTGGCAGAGCAGTTAAAGCGGGGAGAGACTGTACAGGCGGAGGCCTTTGACAGTGTTACCATCTACTTCAGTGACATTGTTGGCTTCACAGCTTTGTCAGCAGAGAGCACCCCCATGCAGGTGAGAGCCATGGGTGAGAAGTAGGGGGTGGGATAGGGTTCTGGGGAGCTTCACTGGGGCATAGGATCCTTGATAATAGGGGAGATTCCTTTGTTCTGGAGTTCTCATATTTTGTTATAGCTTATTCGTTAAGAATTCTTAGAAAGTTAGGCACAGGTCTCAGGGGCTCTACTTTCCCATCCCTGTTAGGTGGTGACACTTCTTAATGACCTGTATACCTGCTTTGATGCCATAATTGACAACTTTGACGTCTACAAGGTGAGAGCTAGGGCTACCCTCCTACTGAGACCTCTTTAAAACCCAATCTCCCTGAACCCTACATACCTACCCACTTTATTGGCAGTCTAATACTGGGTGCCCTTTGTAGACAAATGAGGCTCTGGCACTCTAATTGTACATCCCAGTCTAATTTCTTAATTAGGTCTAATGGTGCCCTAATCGGAACCATCACAGGATTTAGTGCCTATCTGCCACTTTTTGCCTAGGGGTATAAATATTGCCTATCCGTCTTTTCTCTTCCCTCCATCCTCTCCAGACATGGAAGAATTATACGGGATGTGGGTACAGAAGGATTTATTGGGCTGAGGGACAAGCTACCTTGTAAAAAATTTTGTTGAAGTCATTGAGTTGGCACGGCGTGGGCTTTCCTGTGCTTGGCAATAAAAAATCATCAGGATTTAGGTGTTGACTTTGTGACTAATTGTGTGACCCTGGGCAAGTAATGGTAAAGCTCCTTGAGCCTCAGATATTTACCTAGAAGACAGGAATAACAGATGTATTGTGGACATGTCTAACATTACACCAATGTCTAATACATACCTGTTCCTATCCCTTTCCTTTGGACTTACTCTACTATGTGTTGTTACTGTCACAAAAAACTCCCATAAACCCTTTACTCAGATTCACCGATTATTCATACTTTACTCCTGTTTGCTTTATTTTTAAAAAACCTATCTATCCACCTAATTCTTTCTGAACCATTTGAGAGTAAGTTGCAGGCACAGTGCCCCTTTATCCCTAAACAGTTCAGTGTCTAGTTCCTAAAAACAGGACATTCTTTTGTATAGCTTCAGTACAATTAACAAAGCCAAGCATCTGCTTTCTTGCCTTGGACAGTTCAGGCTGTCTGAGGCCTAGTTCACGGGGCCTGCCTGACCTCCTCACCAGCCTCTGTGCTCTTCAGGTTAGTCCCGTTTTCTTGCTTCCCATTTCCTGACAGCAGAGCCTATTTGTTCATGTCTTGTTGCAGACAGGGTATCCATTCCCTCAGCAAATGGTTACTGAGTGTTCGCCAGGTACAGGGGTGGTGTGGGAGGATTTAGAGACTCCCTGAATCTGTGCCCGCACCCCACCTCCCGATTCTCAGGACCATGGCACTTATTTTCCAGTCAATGCTCTGGCCTCTTAGGCTGCTGAGATGACTCATAGTGGCGTCCACTGCTCTCCTTCTGCTCTTCCCCATTCCCACTGATACACATAGAGGTGACCTTTTAAATCCCATCTCAATCAGGTAGAAACGATTGGAGATGCCTACATGGTGGTGTCTGGTCTCCCAGGCCGAAATGGTCAACGCCATGCCCCGGAAATTGCTCGTATGGCTCTAGCATTACTGGATGCAGTTTCTTCCTTCCGCATCCGCCACCGACCCCATGACCAGCTGAGGCTACGCATAGGGGTCCACACCGGTAAGGCTGACTCTCACTCCAGCCCACGTATCTGCTTTTCCCAGGCTCTCCCAACCTGTTTCTTCTCACAGGGCCCGTCTGTGCTGGGGTTGTTGGCCTGAAGATGCCCCGCTATTGTCTTTTTGGAGACACGGTGAACACTGCTTCCCGAATGGAGTCTAATGGTCAAGGTAAAACATTAACCCTCAACCTCGGCCTCAGCCTCAATTTGTGGTGCCCTTTTCTTCTTTTCAGAGTTCTTCCAAATATCTCAATCTGAGAGACCACAGTTCCTGACCGCCCCATCCTTGGACATATTTTGGTTCTAGTGCATGTGCCCTGGGAAGACTGAGAGCCTCCTGAGGGGTGGTGGTTTGGTAAAGCTCTCTCCGATACCGCCAACTCTTCTGTTGTCTTTTCTTTGATTCATCTTTCCACCATCCCTGCACCCCATCCCACCCCAGCCCTGAAGATCCATGTCTCCTCTACCACCAAGGATGCCCTGGATGAGCTAGGATGCTTCCAGCTAGAGCTTCGGGGGGATGTGGAGATGAAGGTGATGGCAGGCCATGGGGAGGGGTCACGGAAAGGGAGGATGAAAGCAATTATGGGGATCATGGGGAAAAGAGAGAGATAAAAGGAATAACATAGAAGAATCTGAATTGTCTTCACTCCCCCACTTCCAGGGAAAAGGAAAGATGCGAACTTACTGGCTGCTAGGAGAGCGGAAAGGACCTGCTGGACTCCTGTAAACCGCCTTCTTTCTAAGTCAGACAATCTCTTGCTGCTGGTACCTGGGTGGGCAGCAGCCACCATCTCTCTACACATCAGAAATGGACACTGTTGTGTAAGATGGAAACCAACGTGCACAAAAACCCTACTTTATAAGGAAGTTGTTGCCCTTTGCAGCTCAGCCTTGTGTACATATACGTGCCTCGCTCTGACCTGGTTCCCTTCTTCCCCTACCTTCTGTAAATATCTGTATCTAAACCAGAATATTTTGGCCAAATATAAAACAACAAAAACTGTCATGGTGTCAGAGTCTGGGTTAGGGGCAAAGCCAAGGAACATGGTTACTCACAGAGTCACTGAATGAGCAGTCTTAGGATGAGAGAGAACCCTTTATGTAAAGTCTCTTCACCAAGTACAGGCAGAATTTACTTCCTTTCCACCTTTCCAGGACAGACAGAAGTAGATTCCATATTCCACATCCCTCTTCCCTCCTCAACCCTTAGATTGTAGTTCCACCCATTCCAGCACCCTGTCCTCCTCCCTGGCAGGCAAGGGTAGATTTTTCCCCCAGTTGGTGGGAATAGTTCTCAGGTTCATAGGGCAAAGGCTGCCCCAGAGACAAAGGCACTGGTGTTGAGAAGCTGCAGTTCTTCCGGAATGGTGTGTCCAGAGTCTTGATGTTACTGACACCCTGGAGGAGGGCCAGAATGACGACAGATCCCGCTCTGCACCACGCCAGAACAGAGCAGCCTCTTCCCCTCCTTCTCCCCCACTCCCAACACCCTCACACACCGGCAGCTGGGGCGCCCTCTGTATCCAGAAGGTTTCAGGTTGCTCCCGACGGTAGTCATGAGGCTGGAAAGGAGAGATACTGAAAAACTCTTGGTGTGAAACTCCTTCTCTTAACCTCTGCTGCTTTCCCACAGCCCGTTAGAGCCCAGCAGTACAAGTGGCGGGAGAAAAAATCTCACCTTGGTTGGGGCAGGGGCCCCAGCTTGCACCAGCTCCTTTCGGTAGTCGTGGTGTGTCACAGACTCGACTTCAAACTGCTCCCTTGTGGTTTCCTGCTCTGCCTGCACCTCTTTACTGTATAGCCCTGGGGGCATCAAAGCCATTCTTCCCTGAGTTTTGTCTCCCCCCGTCCCCCCTTACCCTTCTCCAGGCCTCTCACCAGATCTGGTGGTGCAGGAGCATCTCCAGCATGGCTTCACGCTTTCCTGTAGGAGGGCAGGGAGCAGAGAGAGCAGGGAAGTCTGGTTAAGAAGCAGGCCCAGGAGGGATGCCTGGGTGGCTTAGTCGGTTAAGCATACGACTTTCGCTTAGGACATGATCTCGCAGTTCACGGGTTCGAGCCCCGCGTCAGGCTCTGTGCTGACTGCCAGCTCAGAGCCTGGAGCCTGTTTCAGTCTGTGACTCCCTCTCTCTGACCCTCCCCTGCTCGCGCTGTCTCTCTCTCTCTCTCTCCTAGAAATAAATAAAACATTTAAAACACACACACACACAAAGAAGCAGGCCCAGGAGAAGCAAACATGAGAAAAGAAGGAAAATCATGGGGTTTTACCCTGGTACCCATCAGACAGTCCATAGTCCCGCTAGAAATTCCTTCCTATCTATCTCTAATTGCTCATTCTGGCCCATTCTCTCATGCTTCACACCTCGAGTTGGCTGATAGTAGTTTCGTGGGGGCTGGTATGAGTCTTTCTGGGTGGTGCTGAAGGACATGGGTGACTGTAGCTGCAGGGTCAGCAGTCCCTGGTGTCCATGTCGGAAGGCGAAACTCTCAGAGCCATCCTGCATGCTTGGGACTTGGTCCAGGTGGTTGGTGGCTCTCTGTGGGCCCCAAGTTGAGTGACCAGGATATCCTTTATGGCACCCACCCTCATCATAAACTACTGCCTCCCGCAGGAAATTGGGGACAGTCTTTAGGAAAAGGGAGCTGGTCAAAACCTTAATACCTCCTCCTCCCAGTTGTAGAGAAGGCAGTGGCCCCGTGGCAATGTTTCATTGAGAACCTTACACTTCCCTTCAACCTCAGGGGTCTTCCAGTGCCCTCGGGCATCAGGTTCTGAGACTTGCAAAAATTTCCAGGGTTGTTTCTGAGGTTCCCGGTGGCAGTAATGATTCCAGGAGGCATAATTAGGGACCGGATCAGCTTGGGGGGTTCTGAAACTTGGAAGATTGTAGGGGCTGAGCTCAGGGTCAAGGCCACAGCCTGGACTAGGCCCAGAGTCAGTGGCAGGAGCAGGGCCAGAATCAGGGCCAGGAGCAGGGCCAGAATCAGGACCAGTGTCTTGACCAGAGCCATGGCCGGGACTAGAACTGGTGCCAAGAATAGGGCCAGGATTAGAGCTAAGCTCTTTTGTAGTACAGGGAACCTGGGCAATATGGGAAACATAGAGAGGCTCAAAGCCAAGTTTCCCGTGGCCTCTCTTGTGGGTAAAGCTGGCTCCAGTGCAGGGATCCCCCAGAAGACTGTCAGAGGAGCGGTCTAGGAGAAGGTTCGGTTCAGAATAGCACACTGGGGTCTCTGCAGATAATGCAGTCGCTTTGGCGGTGGAGGAGGCTGCAGCTGCTGTAGTTGCGGCTGCCAGGGCCGAACTAGGACCGCCATCCGAAGGAAGTGGTTCTGAAGTGGACCCTAGTCCTTCAGTGCCCGGCTGTACATCTAAAGATCTGAAATAAAGCGAACGTGACAAAGTTGTCAAAAGAGCAGCGGAGTAAATCCGCTGACCTTTCTTGTCTCCTTACACCTGCAGCCAAAGCTGCTGCTCTCACCCACCGCGATCCCTTGAGAGACTGTGCGTGCTCCATCTTCAGTCACCAGCTACCGGGTTGCCATAGAGACGGCAAATAATTCCAGGAGACTGCGCACAACTAGAGTTGGGCGGAAGTGTTGGGTGGGGGTGGAGGCAAATTCTCTGCGGGGCGGAAGTCTTAAACCTGGTGAAGTCTAGAGAGTTTGCTGTCCGTTCAGACTCCTTAGCCCAGCTTTTAAGGTTCTGCTGGCCTAGGACCCTGCCTTCTACACTTAAACATGATTCTTTTTGAGGCTTTCTAAGGTGATTCTTTGTGCTGGAGACAAGAGCAGAGTTGTGGTATCAGACAGAAGCATATTTGGTGTACTTGTGTAGGGGCAACAGTACCTTACCCTCAGTTCATTTTTAAAAATGGGGTGTGGCGGGGCGCCCGGGTGGCTTAGTCGGTTAAGCGTCCGACTTTCACTTAGGTCATGATCTCGCGGTTCGTGGGTTCGAGCCCCGCGTCGGGCTCTGTGCTGACTGCCAGCTCAGAGCCTGGAGCCTGTTTCAGTCTGGGACTCCCTCTCTCTCTGACCCTCCCCTGCTCACGCTGTCTCTCTCTCTCCTAGAAATAAATAAAAATGGGGTGGGGCCTGGAGTCTTTTAAAAATGTTTAAGGTTGAAAATACATCAAACAACTAAAAAGCAAAATGGTGAGACATGGGGATCAAAGGGAGGCATCCTTTTTGTTTGTTTTGTTGGTGTGATTACTTCTCCTTCAGTAAAAGATCCTCAACTTGACTATCCTCCTCCCAGACCCCTTTAGAACCTGGCTTAGCATCTGAATACGGGCCAGGATTGAGCGTTTCAACCCTGGGTTTCAGTCTCTCCCTACTCATATAGGCTTATTCCTACTGCTACTTTTCTAGAAGCTTGACCCAGGTGGACCATTTGTCATGAGGACTCACAAATCTATAGACAAATGCTTCTTTAACCACAGGATGGGCCTCCTTAATGTCTCTAACTCAGACCACAGTCAAGAGGGATCATTATCTTTTTTTTTTTTTAAGATTGTATTTTTAAGTAATCTCTACACCCAATGTGGGGCTCAAACTCAAGCCTAGGATCAGGAATTGCATGCTCCAACAACTGGGCCAGCCAGGCACCACAGGATCAATATCTTTAATGTTTTCTTTTCTATTTGTGGTATAAATCTTTATATATTTAAGACAGTGATCCAAAATCGAGGGAGAACAAGTTTATTAGCATCATAGGGTCCCTTTCCCCCCACCCTCCAAGAATCCAGGTCTGGGGTTCTTGGTCAGTTGGAAGGTTCAACCTGGAGGCCACTGGAGCTGTCGGCCGCCAAGTACATGAATGTGCAGATGATACACAGACTGTGAGCCCAGCTTCCCATCGTTGATCACTGAAATGGAGCTTGGGGTTAGGGGGTCAGGATCATGGGACAGGTTACCAGAATAAAGATCATATGGAGGGGTAGGTATGAAAAATCATAGGCAAGGAGCTCAATGGCCAAAAGGCACTCACCGAGTCGGTATCCATCTCCCAGCCCCTCAGCCTTTGCTGTCTTCTTAGCCACAAGGAGAAGGTGTCCTAGAAGCTACAGGGAAAGGGGAGGGAAATGGGTGGCTTCATTCACAGGGAGCAAAACCTCTGAGTCCAGGGCTTCCCCCACAGCCAAACCCTGGCTCTATTCTTCCCACCTGCTGATCTTCTTCTTCAGCCTGGCTAATCCGAGGAATGGGCTTCTTAGGAATGACCAGGAAGTGCACAGGAGCTTGAGGGGCCACATCACGGAATACGAGACACTGGGAGCAGTGAAAGGCCAGAGGCCACCATGTTACTTCAACAGGTTGATGGGATCTGTGAAATTCCCAAGAGGACAGGTCCTAAGGGCACCCCACCTGCTGGTCCTCATACAAAATGTCAGCTGGGAGGCTTCGATCCAGGATCCGGGAGAAGATAGTTGGGGCTGCTCCCTGAGGAGCTGCCTGCTGGGCTTTGGCCACTTCATTTCCATCCGTCACACCTGCAGCTCCTCGGACCTGAAGGTGGGTCAGACATACCCAGGGGAGGGGGTTGACAATACCTCTCCCCATATATAATCAGTTGGAGCTGGCAGAGGTGGGGCTCTGATAATCATTAACTTCACCCTTCTAAGAACTTACTAGTGGCTCCCATCCAAAGGAAAAGTTCCTCAATCTCAAAGTGTCAGCAGTAGAGAGTAGGGTCAGATAGTGCTGACCTCGTTAGATAAAGGCTGTATTACAATGCATGATTCAGTACTGCAATTGATTCCTGTTCCTAAAGTGCCCAGTAAATTTTGCACTGTGCAGGAGAAAGGACAAAGGATGAGAACTGGAAACTTAGACCTAGTTCCTCTTTTACCACTGAGTTACCTCAGCTAAATCCCTCATCTTGACTACAAATATAAAGGTTTTTGCATCATCTTTTAAGACCATTGGAGCTCTTTCCACTCACACCTTGTTGCTAAGACTCCACTTATTTCCATTGTTATCTAATCTCTAAGGTATTTTACCTGTTTTATTCAGGTTTTCACACATTTGTCCTGTTTGACACAAGTACGTCTGAGTGTCACATCTGAACTCTTTTTGTGAAATTTTAATTCCAATCCCGTGAATCAGTGAAAGGAAGAGTTAAGTGAATTCAGCAACGACAGCCCCAGGGGACTGAGGGTACGGAAGCCCCAGTTTCCCGGACCTCTGAGAAGGCTCAAGTCCGTGCTGTCACAGTGCGGGAGAGATTTGGGATGAACTTGACCCCTCTGGTAAATGCGGAAGGTGAGAGATTAACACTTGTGCTCAGAAGGCCAGGGGCCTGGGGCGGGCAGGAGACTGGCTACGAGAAGGCAAACCTCACTTCCTACAGGGGGCACTGAGGAGGCTGCCCGCAACAGGCGTTCGGTTTTAGAAGGCAGCAGCCGCAATGGACCGACCCTGTCGCAACCTCGGCGCCGGGGCCACCGCCGAGAGGCTGCCGCCAACTACCAGCCGGACCTCACCAAACAGCCCTGGAGTTTGCGCCTCCGGAGAGTCAGCATTCCCTGCCAGATGCTCGGGCTCCGTCCCCGCGAGGCCTATGGGCTGCACGCGCCTGGGGGAGGAGGCCGGCCCCGGGGGGCGGCACAGCCCGCGGGACGCCCTCCGCGCCCCCGCGGCCGCTTCTCACCTGCGCCCCCCGCGGCCCCGCCAGCGCCACCGCCCTGCGCGCCACGCACAGCCCAGCGGCCAGCACCAGGGCCGCCGCCATCTTGCCCTCGGCCGTGAACCTCTTCTCCCGCCAGCACGCCCGCCCCGTCGCCACCCGAGGTGGAGCTGCCCCGGAGCCGGCAAGGGCGGCCATTGGCTCAGCTGGCGGCCGCGAGCCGGGCCCTCCCACCCCATTGGCCGTGCTCCTGGGCTCCGCTTGCCGCTCTCAGCCCAGAGGGTGGTGTCATTCACGCCACTGGCTCCACCGCCACTGTGGAGGCGGGATCTTTTCATCCCATTGGCTGTTTCTGCCAGCTCGTGGGCTAGTTTTTCAGTCCATTGGCTTCGACCTCTGGTCAGAGTAAAAGTTCCTTCGCCATTGGGCCCTCTAAGTAGTTTCCCCAAGAGAAGTTCTCACTCCATTGGAAGGCTTAAGAGACGTGGGATTTAACTCCATTTGGCTCTGCTGCACAGCATTGGTGCGGCGCCGAGCCTCGACATCGTAGACCCTCTCCCCGCATTGGCCAGGAGGAGGGCGGGTGCTGAGGGCCCTGGCGCTGGCTGGCTCCGGGAGCCACCGCAACCCCTGGAGGCGAAGTCTTAGGAGTCCCGGAAGAAGGGGCGGGACTGCCTGGCGTGTGAGGCTGAAGGTGAACTGGAACCGGTTCTTTTTTTTCTGTTTTCTTTTTTCTTTCTTTTTTCTTTTTTTTGTAATTTAGTATCAAGTTTGCTAACATACAGTGCATATATGCAGTGTGCTCTTGGCTTCGGGAGTAGACTCCCATGATTCATTGCTTACATACAATACCCAGTGCTCCTCCCAAGTGTCCTCCTCGATTGCCCATCACCCATTCCCCGCCCCGCCCCCATCAACCCTCAGTTTGTTCTCTGAATTTAACTGGAGGGATAGATAGCCAGCGTTTTTTTCCCACGAGGGTATTCCTGCCCCTTGAGCATTTCGAAGATTTTTAATTTACTCATCTAATGGTAGTCCCTCCTTAGTTTGTGTTCGTGTGTACATATTTCCAACATTGAAGATTCTGGAGTTCGTTTTTAGGATTTTTTCCCCCCTTTTTCTTTTTTTTAACGGGAGGCGGCGGTAGTCTCCTGTCTTTGCCACACAACAACTAAGGAATAGGTATCCAATGTTCTTTCCTAATCAGAAATGGTGTGTGAAACAGCCTTGTGCCTGGCATTTTCAGTTAGTCGGGTTTGAGGGACAAGGGGAATGCGTCCTGCCTAGGTGAGAAGTATATTTCATTCTGCTAGAATATATATTTTTGGCCTAAAGAACAGGAGTCACAAAATGCTAATATACTCACATTAAGTAAGTTTTAGTCTGACGTTTAACACTTAGGACAAAAGCCACCACTCTATCTTTAGGTTTTTGGTGGTTTTGTTTTTTGTTTTGTTTTTCAGCACATCAGTGATTGTGGAATGACTAACATTTGGTGTTTCATTTCCTTTTATTATATAAAATACGTATGTATTGCATATATATATGCATATATATATACATATATATATCCTTCTGCCCTTTACAGTTTTCTGTATTATTACATAGTCTATGTAAATATACTCTGTAATGTCTGCATATTCCTTCCTTGAATGAGTTTATTATAGTAACCATTCCTTTACTATTGACTATTGAATTAGTTTTAGTGAATGGTTATTATGTCGCTAATTGTATACCACCAGTCAGGAAGAACTCTTTACTTCTGGAGATAGGAATAATCTTTTGTATAGCCGTATTATTGTTAGAAAGTCCTTTTTCCTCCGATGGGCAGACATTTGACCCTGTGATTTCCCCTAGGAGTTCTAGGTCTAGATTGATTTCCTTCCTTTGGAAGGATAGACAGCTTCCCCAAATGTGGGGAAATGTAGCCTGGCCTTTTCTCTGTGCCCTAGAGGTTGTATGCAGTTCTCATGGTGCCTCCAAGACAGGAGCACCCTAGAGAAGTTCAAGAGATAAGAAGAGCTGGGATCTATGAAGAAGAAGGAAACCAGCCAGGAGGGGTAAGCGACTGTAAAGCACTTTGAAACTGGTTATTTCTTTAGGTTCTCAGGGAGAGCAGGTAGCACAGAGATTATTCCTCTTTTACAGATCCAGAAACTGAGGCCCAGAGAGGGAAAGTGATATGCCTAGGATCACAGAGCCAATTAGTGCCAGAATCTCCTACTCCTCATAAAAATAACCTATGATTCACTGATTTTGGCCCCTGGCCTACAGTCTTCAGTCCAAGCTTCACGATCCCTGGCAGCTGTTCTCATCTGTGAGCTGCAACTCTCTGTAGGTTCTGACCACTGTCTCTCATACTTCGATCCCTACCACTACATCTGCTACTGGACCTCATTAGAGAGTTCTAGTCCTTTGACTGTTCCTTTTTTCAATCTGTCAGTTGCTTCCTAGCTTTACTTCCTTTCCGTTTGTACCATCAGCTCTCTCCACATCCTCAAGCCTTCTTTTCGCTTAATTTTCCTGATCATCCTCCCTGACACCTTCCATCACCAACCATCAATCTAACAATTTTGTTTCTCTCTTCCTCTTTAACTAGATTCCTGCTTTCAGCTGTCCCTGAATCCTCAACTACCCACTGATCAGGTTTTTCTCCGAATCCCCATATTAGCCTTCCTGAACCTTCGCCTGTCTTCCTATCTCCTACCCCTCATTCTTTTCTTTCTCCTGCCCCACCAGCAACTGACCTTGTCTCCTACTTCACAGGGGAACTTCCACAAGATCGTGCTCCCTGCAGCTCAATGAGGGCCCCATCCTTTTCTTTCTTCCTTCCTCTTGGACTACTTAGGAAGTGGTGTTTCTCCTGTCCAGAACAAATCCCTTCCCATCTGCCCTGACTTCATTCCCTCCTCCCTCCATCTTTGGGATCTTGTCTCACCAGGTATCTCTCTTATTCTTCTGCATCCTTCAAATTTTTTTCTCTCCTGGTCCCTTCCCTTTTTCCCTCCTAAAAAAAAATGCTTCCTTGACTGCACGTTTCCCTCTGGATATTGTCTGACTTCTTTCCTGCTCTTTTCACCCAAGCTTCTTAAAGAAGCTCTTTCAAACTTGCTGCTTGCTTTCTACCCTCCACTGGGCCACTGAAACTACATTATCGGAGGACCTTCTGATTGTAAGACCCAATGGACATTTTCAGTCTTTATCCTATTTGAGTCCCCAACTACATCTAACACCAGTGTTCGTTCTATCCTTCTTGAAACCCGTCCCTCCTTGGCTTCCTTGAAGCCACTCTCCTTCTGATGCCAGAGCTCGCAGCTTGAATGTGGGTGTGGTGGAGGCAGACGGTTTGATCCAACCTCTCTCCTGGGTGGTGCGCTCTCTAGCTCCCAACAGGTAACAACTCTAAGGTCCTAGGGTGTCTGTCACTGGGCTGGGGTTCTGTCCACCCCATACAGAAGCAGGCCAGATTCCAGTGGCTTCCCCTTGCTTTATTGATGATTCGAGCCAGGCTCAGAGAGGCTTGCGCCAGGTGTTGACAGTGTCTGTCCCTGGAGGAGGGAAAAGCAGAGGTGAAAGGGTCAGGTATGGGGGTCAAATTCAGGGCCAGGGGAGAGGCTGTGTGGGCCAGGGAGCCCAGGAGGTTTGGGGTGGGTGCTGGGATGGCCAGAGGGCCCTGCTTCTGTAAAGCCTCCAGTCAAAGTTGCTGATGACGGCTTCTCAGAGGATAGGCATCTCTGCAAAAGGCACATAGTCTGCCCCTAGGGGTGGAGACTGGTGCAGGTTTGGGATGCAGGTGCTGAGAGGGCGAGGTAGTCTTGGACGGGATGGTTGAGGGTGGGAGCACCTTCCTCCCTGGCCTTCTGACTATGGTCCTGGAATGGTCCCCCCTTCCAGGTTGCCCCCTGCCCCCTCACCATGAGGCCTCCCTCCTCGTCGCCGGGTCTCCTCAGTCTCAAAGAAAGTCTCATGTTCTTCCCAGCGCCGGTCGCAGGCCGCACAGAGGAAATTAGACTCAAAGCAGTTGCAGCAACAGCCTAGGGCAAGGGGGAAGCCAAGACAAGTATAAGGAATTGGGGCTTTCCCATGGGCTGACTACATTTCTCCTCTCTTCCTCACCAACCACAAACCCAAGTTTCTCCTACCAAATCTCCCACCCTCATCCCTAAACTATTTGCATCCTACCCATGCCCACCCCTGAACTCCCCTCACCCTAGAAATTACCTTTCACCCTGCAGGGATGGGACCCAGTAGCTGCATGGTTTTCATGGCTGTGTTTGCAGCGACACTGGGCCCTCCAGGCCTTGGGGTCAAAGGTAGCTCGTCTCTTAAGCCAGAACTCACCCACCTCCTCTGGGCGTGATGGGATAAAGCAGAACATGAGGCAGCGGCACTGGGCCACGTTGCAGGGCACAGATATGTCTATGGGATGGGGCCGGATGGTAGGATTAGACTTGTGCCTACTAGGGCCTAGCCTTTCTGTGCCGGTCCCCCTCCCCCATACCAGTACACACACACTTTCTCTCATACATCCCAACACATGGCCCGGGTATAGTTTTCCCTCCCCATGGACAGGGGCTGGTCAGTTCTCCCTACCTGAGATTATCTGGTGCTCTCTCAACAAGTGCCCACAAAAGCATTTGGACTCCTCTCCGATTCGGAAACAGTCCCATAGATAATGGGGGCAGCGCCAGCCAATGTAGAGACCTGAGTGTGGAGGGATTAACAAGGAAGAGTGAGAAGGAAAAATAGCCTAAGCCCCCCAGGCCCCCTGGTCTCACCCCTACCCCAGGTATATTCACTGCACCCATGATCTCCACCCTTTAGACTTCTTCCCATCAGATTTTCTCGGTGTCCCACCAGTGTTTCAGCTCCCTTCCCACCCCAGGATCCACTCCATCTCTGTCAGCCTGTCGGAAATCACTGAAGACAGTCTTCAGCTTCTGAAGCTTAGTGTCCGAGCGGGAAGATTCAAAATGAAATTTTATGGGGCGCCTGGGTGGCTTAGTCGGTTAAGCGTCTGACTTTCGCTTAGGTCATGATCTCGCGGTTCGTGGGTTCGAGCCCCGCGTCGGGCTCTGTGCTGACTGCCAGCTCAGAGCCTGGAGCCTGTTTCAGTCTGTGACTCCCTCTCTCTCTGACCCTCCCCTGCTCATGCTGTCTCTCTCTCTCTACTAGAAATAAATAAATTAAAAAAAAAAAAATGAAATTTTATTTGAAGGTGAACGTGAATCTTGCTGAGTTCTCTGTGACTGTTAAGATTCACATTTCCTCCCCTTCCCACATTAGAGCCCAACTTAGTTTTGTCTCCTTGAAGTGTCTGAGGTGAGGGAAAGGGAAGTTGATTGGCCAGGTGTAGAATAGACGGTGAGGCTGGGCACCTGAGAAAATAGTGTTGTTGAAGGGACCCGAAGGGGAGGAGGAGGTTGGGCAGCTCTGGGACCAGGAGGAGGGCTTTCCTCACTTTTCCGATTTGGCACCTTCCTATTTCCCCTCTGTGTTCCTGGTGTTCCTAAACGGATGCTATCTAGGAACTTGAGAAGGGCTGCTTATAGTTCTCTAAAAATCAGGAGAAAGGGGTAGGCCAGAAGTCATGAGTGGCGAAGACCAAGAAACAGAAACTTGTGAGGCTATGAGGTATCCCTGAGACGAGGCGCCAGCAAAATGCCACAGCCCTTGAGAGCCTGGTTTCAGTAGTGGGATCTGAAATTGGCTTCATGGTCACCCTCGCTCCAAGGCAAGGGTGGAGCCATTTAAATGTGGGAGGAGAACCAGAGATCACATTCCACTCAGATTTTCTTACCCTTCCTGAGACTTGAGACTACTCCAACTTCTAAGCAAGACTCCTGTATGAGTCAACAGGGTGGGACCTTCAGCTATGGGACTCATTCCCATTTAAAGGCTACAATGGGGACGCCTGGGTGGCTCAGTTGGTTAAGCGTCCGACTTCGGCTCAGGTTCTTGGGTTCGAGCCCCACGTCAGGCTCTGTGCTGACAGCTAGCTCAGAGCCTGGAGCCTGTTTCAGATTCTATATCTCCCTTTCTCTCTGACCCTGCCCTGCTCACGCTGTCTCTCTCTCTCTCTCTCTCTCTCTCGCTCAGAAATAAATAAAACATTAAAAAAAATAAAAATAAGGGCTACAATGAACTGTCACCTCCACCAAAAAGTTGTCCCTGACTTCCTCTGCCTGTCTAGGGGCTCCTCCTCTTTCTCTGACTCCTCTGCTACTCCTCTTACAGTACAATGCATTATAATAATGGACTTTTCACTGTACTCCTCTTAGACTGTGGGTTTTCACCTATATCTCTAGTCCTTGCACAGGGCCTGGCCCAAAATAGGTTCTCAGAGAGCACAGTCTACTTGACCGGATAAATGAATGAGCAGATTCCTTCAGGAGGGAAGAGAGACCCAGTATTCTAGGCCCGACACTGAAGTTCCATAAGAAGGATGGGAAAGAGTTAGGGTCCTCTGGTCTATGACTCGGGCCAGGGCCACAATCCACAATCCTGTGCCTAATTGTCAGTCTAGTTTTTCTTGCCTTACCCATGGTCTTTCAGGGTCTAAAGCCTGTCCAGGCGTGGCTTTTTGGCTTTGCTACTTCTGTCTTGATCCTGCCAGCCTGTAGTGCCAATGCCTTGTTGAAAGGACAGTATATAGGTAGAGTCACAATGGAGGTGGGTGGGGGCCAGGATTCCACTGGAGGAATTCTGAACTCTGTCCAGAGCAGCAGGATACACTGGGTGAGCAGATGAGGGGTGGAGGTGAACAAGTGTCAGTGCCCATATATCAAGGTCCTGCTTGATAATTTTATCAAGCCTGGGCCTGGGAGAGTCAAGTCCATGCACTGATACGGGAGTCAGTGCCCGGTTTTTAGACGAAGAAGACTAGAGTTTAAACAGAGACTGGTGCCTTATACTAAGACTCCATTATAGGTGTCCATGCCCTTAAAGCAGGACAATTGACATCAGTCTATGTTGTCCAGAGTGGGACTCTCTACTCTCCTCTGATTCGAAACTGTCCTTCTAAGTGGACAAGGACAGGTGGGGGGAGGAGACATTATCTGGAATGCCATTTTGACGGTGTACCAGGTGGTTCTAGGTAGTTTCACCTTAAGAATCTTTGTTCCAACAAAATAAGTCAGGCAGAGAAGGACAGATACCATATGTTTGTATGCATAGGAGAATTGGGAGGAACTTAACAGAGGACCATGGGGGAGAAGAAGGGGGGAAAATAGTGGGGGAGGGGGAGGGAGGTAAACCATGAGAGATTCTTGAATACTGAGAACAAACTGAGGACTGATGGGGTGGAGGGGAGGGGGTGATGGGCATGGAGGAGGGCACTTGTGGGGATGAGCACTGGGTGTTATATGGAAACCAACTTGACAATAAACTATTAAAAATAAATAAATATCTCTATTGCAAAAGAAAAAAAAAAAAAAAAAGAATCTTTGCTCCAAGCATTTTCACTACAAACATTTCCACTGCGTGATCAATTTGGCCATAGAAAATTTTGCCATGAAAGATAAAATCACAAAAAAATAAAAGGACATTCTTTAAAAAGGGCATAATGAAATATGGAAAATGAATATTAAAATTAAAAATGACTTTATTGCAAAATCCAAACATTCGAATTTAAAATGTATAGATTCGTGGCCATACTGTGTAAATAGCTGCTTTTATTTTGTGGATTGTACCTAAGCAATTGTCTTCAAAGTCTTTCATTCATAGCATTATACAGTATTTTTTTTTTTTGCTTGTTGATTCATCTCCTTGTTCATCATCTCATTTTTTCTTTTTTTTATTTTTTTGCTAAAATTTCTTCTTTCATTAAGAGAGGTATCAGTTTCCAAATATTAGGATGCATGTCTGCAAATGAGCCGTGTGTTGTGTTGTGAAAGCCTTCTACGTTGCTGTTTGTTCTTGGCATATCGTCACATGTCCATTGATAGACGTTCCAAAGTTGTATGGGAAATGTGAGCTCAAAACTCTGTGCCACTGTGTAGACCATTATGAAGACTAAGACTCACATAATATAAAAATGGAAGTACTGTGTCAATGGAGAAATAAAACCAAACTGCCAACCCGTGGATAAAACCAACAAACTGTCAAACTGAACTGTCAGCTAGTTATCTTTTATGGCAAATTGCCTTATGGTCAGTTAACTTTGCGGCATAATATTTGTGGCAAAGAGGTCTACGGCACAGATGCTTACTGTGAAAATACTAGACAAGGTACAACACAATGAATTCCATGGCCACATAATTACATTTGCATGGTAATATCTCTTTTTGCTTAGACCATCTCCATACAACATCCGGCTGTCTTTTCATGAAGGATGTCCCTAGTCCAGACTTTTCTCCTGAACTTCAGACCCATACAGCCAGTCTACTGGACTCTTTGACCAACATGTTCCACAAGCACTTCAAATGTGGTAAATTCAATTATCCCTTCCAAACTTGGCCCTCATCCTTTGTCCTCTGTTCATCCAACATGTATTTATGCATCTACTGTGTTTTAGGCCTTCATGAATGGCATCATCATCTAACGAGTCTCTTAGCCGACTGAGCCACCCAGGCGCCCCTACATCTAATGAGTCTCTTAAGCCAAAGACCTAGATGTCATTCCAGGCATGTCCTTCTCTCTTATCCTACACATCCAAAGATCCAAAGGTCAGTTTTACCTTCTTAGCATTTCATGAATCTACTTCTCTCCACCTCCACCCATGCACTTTCTTACCCAGATTGTTAGTTACCAGGGCCTAATTTAGTCTTCCTATGTTCAGTCTTGCCTTTCTCCAGTCTATGCTACTGCCACAGTGGCCTTTCAAAAACACGAATTTGCTCATATTGTTGTCCCATTTAAAATCTCTTAGTGACTCTCAGATGCCCTTCGGGTATAATCCCAACTCTTGAGCTTTGCCACAGAAATACCTATTCATTTCTCCCCTTCCACAGCTGGGCTCTGTCCAACATTGCTTGCGGTTTCCTACTGATGCCTTGCCCTGTCATGTCTCACCTCACCCCACTTTTTACCTGGCCACCTTTTTTTACTCATCTTACAGATTTCAGCTGCGAAGTCATCCCTTCCAGGCTTATTCCCTGAGCCCCCAAGATTGGGTGCCCCTTATCTCTGCTCATGCAGCACTTGAGGCTAACCTCAGTTATAGCAATTATTAGAATGATATATTAGATATATATCAGATATATATTAGAATTATATTATTATAATTATCCTTTTACTTTTTGGTGTTTCTCATTAGAGTATAAATTATTTGAGGGATTTTGTTTTTGGAATCCCACCAGCCACCACCTCCACATCTAGCTCAATGCCTGGCACATAGTTGGTGCTCAATAAATGCTGAATAAATAAAAGAAACGCTTACACTTGATCTTCTCTACACAGCACATATATGGATTTTCTAGAGACTCAAGATCCCCAATATTAGAAGGGAACCCCAAATATCTTTTTTCGGGATTGAATGACACTGAAAATTACTACATAAAACTGTCTGTTTAAACAGGAAAATGAAGTTCAGTGTGAAGAAGTGCAGTGGCTTGAAGAGAAGGGAGTAGACAGGGGGGCTCTGAGAAGAACGAGGGACTGAACAACCTTACATTTGCAAAAAGGATAACAGTAACAGATGTTAAAATAAGCAGACAAACCCAGTTCAATGCCTGAATGGAGACTGAGAAACAAATGAGATCATTGTAACTTTCTTGGCCCAGGGTGGAGGGGGAAGGGGCCCTGCATGAGAATAAGGAAAGTAAATTGCCTGGGGAAGGAAGAAGACCATAGAATTACCTGATTGTGTTTCTATTTTAGGCCCATCTAGTCTCAACCTAACTCTCTTCCTATCCTAAGGGGAAAGAAAGTATGAAAGACAAAAATAAGTGCAGTGATGTCTATCACAGTCAGTCTAGAAACCCCAGAATCTGCAGAGCAGGTCAGGGTCTTTCTGAAGGTATTCTCTTTAGACATGAAGTTCAATGACACAGGTACACATGTTCACATACTAGATGGCATGTGTATACATAGTACACCTGTACAACCTTTATATGCCAACACAGATAAGCATAGGAAGCCACTAATGGGGCTGTAAAGAGTCCTAATTCTGGGCTGAGATGGAATCAATGGGCTGGAAGGTACAACTCTCCTTTTTGGTGGAGAGACTCATGGCTTTTGGGTCCCCAGGTGATTATGGGTCTGGCATGAAGGGTGACAGTCTTTTAATGGAGTTCAACCAAGGGGACCAAGGCCTTTTACCATGTCAGAGCAGCAAGTTTTCTGGAATGTCCAGGGTCTGGGCCATCTGTGCCTTAAGGTCTGTTTGGTGTAGGCTATTAGGGCCCTAGATGTGGGGTTCACCTAGGGCCCTGCCTTTTTTTTTTTTTTTTAAACTTCATTTTAGCTGCTCGTCCCTACCTGGGTTTTATATGAATATCCTCACTTTTTTTCCTGCACCCATGCCATCCACTTTGGCCCACCTGCCTGCTCCACTCCTAGATTTCAGGCAGGCAGCATTGCCATTTCTACAAGGGGTAGCTCTCCATTGATCAGGGCAGGTTCCCTGATATAGTTGGATTGGAGGATGGCCATGGGCCTGCCACAGGCCTCTCAAGGACTTCCCGGGCTCACCTGTCTGGATGGCATTCAGGGTTGTATTTTTCTCCCATTGGAAAAGATAATTCCCCTGAACACTGAACTTCTCTCTCTGCTTTGCCTGAGCCACTTCCACCATCTCTGTCTGCTGAGCAGAGACTTCTGGTTGGACTGTGTAACCTGGGAAGGGAGAGGCTGAGTAACCAAGGGCAAATGAGGAGGCCCTAAAACTAAGACAATGGGTCAGGTCAAAGAGTAACCCAATCCCCTCTTCCTGGGGCAGGTGTAAAGCAGCAATGAGAATGGGGAAAAGTCCACAAAAGCCCCCGAATAGCCAAATTAATATTGAAAAAGAAAACCAAAGCTGGAGGCATCACAATCCCAGACTTTAGCCTATACTACAATGCTGTAATCATCAAGATAGTATGGTATTGGCACAAAAACAGACATATAGACCAATGGAATAGAATAGAAAACCCAGAATTGGACCCAAATGTATGGGCCAACTAATCTTCAATAAAGCAGGAAAGAGTATGCAACAGAAAAAAGACAGTCTCCTTAGCAAATGGTGCTGAGAGAACTGGACAGCAATATTGCAGAAGAATAAAACTGGACCACTTTCTTACACAATACACAAAAATAAATTCAAAATAGATGACAGACCTAAATATGAGACAGGAAACCATCAAAATCCTAGAAGAGAAAACAGGCAACAACCTCTTTGAGCTCAGCCATGGCAACTTCTTACCTGGCACGTCTCCAAAGGCAAGGTAAATAAAAAGCAAAAATGAACTATTGGGACTTCATCATGATAAAAACTTCTTCATAAAAAATTCTTTTTTAGGGGCGCCTGGGTGGCTTAGTCGGTTAAGCATCCGACTTTCGCTTAGGTCATGATCTCGCGGTTTGTGGGTTCGAGCCCTGCGTTGGGCTCTGTGGTGACAGCTCAGAGCCTGGAGCCTGCTTCAGATTCTGTGTCTTGCTCTCTCTCTTCCCCTCCCCCACTTGTGCTCTATCTCTCAAAAATGAATAAATGTTAAAGAAAATTTTTAATAAATTATTTTTTTTTAAGTTTACTTATTTTTACGAAAGAGAGAGAGACAGACAGACAATGTGAGCAGAGGAAGGGCAGAAAGAGAGAAGGGACACAGAATTTGAAGCAGGCTCCAAGCTCTGCGCCATCAGCACAGAGCCTGACACAGGGCTCAAACTCGTGAACCATAAGATCATGACCTGAGCCAAAGTCAGATGCTTAACTGACTGAGCTACCCAGGAGCCCCAAGATAAGAAGCTTCTGCACAGCAAAGGAAATAATCAACAAAATTAAAAAGCAACCAGTGGAGTGGGAGAAGATATTTGAAAATGACATATCAGATAAAGGATTAGCATCCCAAATCTATAAAGAACTTATCAAACTCAACACCTGAAAAACAAATAATCCAGTGAAGAAATGGGCAGAAGACATGAATAGACAGTTTTCCAAAGAAGACATCCACATGGCTAACAGACACATGAAAAGATGTTCAACATTGCTCATCATCAGGGAAATACAAATCAAAACCACAATGAGATACCATCTCACACCAGAGTGACTAAAATGAACAACTCAGGAAACAACAGATGTCGAGAAATGGGAACTCTTTTGCATTGTTGGGAATGCAAACTGGTGCAGTCACTCTGGAAAACAGTGTGGAGGTTCCTCAAAAAATTAAAAATAGGATTACCCTACAACCCAGCATTAGAACTACTAGGAATTTATCCAAAGGATAAAAGAGTATAGATTCATAGGAGCACATGTATCCCAATGTTTATAGCAGCGCTTTGAACAACAGCCAAATTGTGGAAAGAGCCTAAATGTCCATCACTGATGAATGGATAAAGAAGATGTAGTTTATATATAAATGGAATACTACTTGGCAACGAGAAAGAATGAAATCCTGCCATTTGCAACAACATGGATGGAACTGGAGGGTATTATGCTAAGTGAAATAAGTCAGGCAGAGAAAGACAGATATGTTTTCACTCATATGTGGAACTTGAAAAACTTAACAGAAGACCATGGAGGAAGGAAAGCAAAAAATGTAGTTACAAACAGAGAGGGAAGCAAACCATAAGAGACTCTTAAATACAGAGAACGAACTGAGAGTTGGTTGGGGTGGGGGTTGGGGGGCAGTGAAAATGGGTGATGGGCATTGAGGAAGGCACTTGGGATGAGCACTGGGTGTTGTAGGTAAATAATGAACCATGGGCATCTACTTCCTAAGCCAAGAGCACAGTGTATACACTGTATGTTAGCTAATTTGACTATATATATATAAAGTACAGGGGACAATTACGGCTAACTCCTTTCTTCCCCTTCTTCTTGCCCAGCTGGTGTCCAGGCTGAGCTGTGCGTGCGATGCTGTCAGTGGCATCCACCTGCTCCTTGTCCTCTCCTTCCTCTTCCTTCTCCTTTACAGATGTGTCCAGGTGGACCTGGGCTGAAGGGCTTGAAAGGGAGTGTTTTTGAAGGATTTCAGACTCAGAGATCTGGATGGACCCCCTTGTCCATGAGACCTCACTGGAGGAATACTCAGAGAGGCTTTCCTTCAGAGTCGGAGAGGACGATACAGTGATATGGCCTTGTGATGAGATATGAAAAGAAAGGTGTTTCTCTGGGACCTTAAACATGTGAGTCTCCAACAGGGTCTCAGGGATAGGGGTTTCCAAAGGGATCTCAGATACAGAGAATCCTAAAGAGGTCTCAGAGATGGAAGGCTCCAAAGGGGTTTCAGAGGTATGGGGCTCTAAAGGGGCCTGGGAAGCAGGTGGCGCCATATGAGATTCAGAGGTGTGAGGCCCTAAGGGGGTCTCAGAGATGAAAGGCTCCGAAGGGGTTTCAGAAGTGTGGGGCTCTAAAGGGGCCTGGGAAACAGGTGGCGCCGTATAAGATTCAGAAGTGTGGGGCCCTAAGGGGGTCTCAGAGATGGAAGGCTCCAAAGGGATTTCAGAGGTAAGGGGCCCTAAAGGGATCTCAGAGGTAAGGGGCTCTAAAGAGGTCTCAGAGATGGAAGGCTCAAAGGATGTTTCAGGAATAGGGGGCTCCTGTGAGTCCTTGGCAGAGGGGTCCTTTGAAGAGGGATGTTCTTCTGCATCCATTGTGGGATGAGGCTCTTCTGTGACCTGGTCTGCTTCCATCTAGTGGTAGAATAGGGTACAGGCTTCATTAAGTTGTGATTGGAGATTGGTGGGTCTGCAAATCAGAGTTCTCTGGGGGATCATGGAATTAGGATAAAGTTTTCTGTGCACCTGAGATGTAAAGGGAAGCAAGATGAACTCTGGATCAGGGCATTGTGCCAGGAGGTTCACCCGTGTGCCTAGATGCCATGTGGCAAGTAGCTGTGGGTTGTGAGGGAGCTTAAAGATAGGCTGAAGCAGTCACAATCCCATCAGTAGATGGTAGCAGAGGACCATGCCCAAGGGGGAAGCCTGAGCATAGCAACTTGGGTAGTCCAAGAGCAGCTAGTCCAAGAGTAGCCTTAGGACCAGGATGTTCAGGCAGTGGAGTACTGGAGACTGGGATACCCAGCCCACATGGGGGTTTGCTCTTAAAGGTGCAGGACAATGCCACGATGCATTAGACAGGGTCCTGGCTGCGGTCTGTTTTGTCTAGGGATCATTTATAGCCTCCCTTGATGTCATTCATGTTCAGGGCTTCCATTACTTCCATCTGGTATGCTGATGATTTCTAAATCCATAATTCCAGCTCAGACCTCTTTAAATCCCTGTACTTCACACTAATACCCAATTGCTTGCTGGACATTGCTAAATGGATGTCCCACAGGGCATCAAAACTGAACTCTGGAGAGTTATTTTAGTATTATCCTTTCCCCTCAGTCCTCATCTTCAAATGGGCACCAAGAACTGTATTTCCTGTCTTCTAAATACTGTATTCCCAAAATCCATTCTTTCCTTTCTTTTCCTTTCAATTTTGTTCTCATAATTATCTACCTGGATTATGTAATATGTAGTAAGTTTGCCCCTCTGTCACTTTCCCCAGCACATCAATCCACTCAGTCATTCTTTCATTGATTTATGTAATTTATACTTAAATTTTTTTAACTTTTTTTTTAGAAACAGAGCATGAGCAGGGGAGGAACAGAGAGAGAGGGAGATACAGAATCTGAAGCAGACTCCAGGCTCTGAGCTGTCAGCACAGAGCCTGACATGGGGCTCAAACCCATGAACTGTGAGATCATGACCTGAGCTGAAGTTGGATGCTTAGCTGACTGAGCCACCCAGGTGCCCCTGTAACTTATACTTTTATAAAGAGCCTAATCTTACACATTTCATGCAGACACTGTGCTAAGCACTGACCTCTGAAAGAATCTGGGAAGGAGACCAGGTTAACCCAAATGACAATATAGATGAATTGATGTTGTGCTGGGGTAAGCTCAGGATGCTGTGGGGAGTGAGGTGTGACTAATTTATCCTGGAGGGATGTTCAAAAGAAGTCAGTCCTCCTTAATGACCCACTGGAGATCTTTCTAAAATGCAAGCCTACCAATGCCGTCCCTTTGCTTTAAAACACTCAATTGTCTCAGCCTAAAGATTAAGTGCAAATTTCTTGGCCCTGACGTTCAAGGCCTGTCATTATTTGCAACACTGCCTAAGTTTTCCAGCCTTAACTTTCTGTGCTCCCTACTTTCCCCCTCATGCTCCAGATGGATTCATTACTTGTATTCGTTAGAGTCTTTCCAAAGGAGAAGTTTGGGACAAGAAATAGAGAGACAGGTAGGGTAGGAAGATGACCAGACATTCAGCACAGGAAAAGGTACTTGAGGGTAGAGAACCAGATGTGGGAGGAGAGGAAGGAGAAAAAGAAGGGGAAGACAGAAATGGGTGGAGAAAAGTGGTGGAGGGGGAGGGTAAGGATAAAAAGGAGAGAATGGGAGAGGGCTGGACTGAGGTGGGAAGGGACAGAAGGTGTTAGGAGAGGAGCGAGATGAGAGTTTGGAGGAAGAGCCACTGGAGAAACTACATACCTCTGGGCTTTGTCTTGGCTGTTACAAGTCCTTAAGTCAGGATTTCGTCTTAAGCAGGGAAGGGGAAATGTTAGCGAGGGATGGAAGGCTCTTAGATGAGACCTGGCTGCAGTTGCTATGTAGTGAGAGGCCTTGCCTTCAAGTTTACCACTTGGGGAGGGGACTTGGACACCTGCAAAAATTCGCAAAGGAGCTCCAGCCAGATCTGGGCGGGGGGGGGGGGGGTGGGGAAGGACGAGGGGTTCCGGGCCGATGAGAGAGGGGCTTGACTGAAACCTCTGGAACCCGGGCAGGGAGAAGGATCAGTCACCAGGGCAACCAGAACGCCCGGTAGTCTCCGTGGGAACAACAGTCCGGTCTCCAGAGGAGGCTGCGCTGGACCTAAAGGGGACGAGCCAGAGGGCTCACTTCTCTTAAAGGGGTTTGCTGGATCTCTGTGAAGAGTGGGTAGTCTGCGGACATCTGTGGGGACGTCCGTAGGTGTCTGGGTTTGTGAGCGTCTCTGTAGGGCTCCTATGAGATGTGTGTGGCTCCATTAGCGGGGGCTGTGAGGATCTGAGGTGGGCATCGGGGCTCACAGGATGGGGTGAAAAAGGCAGGGTTCAGGGAGCGGGGGCTGGGGCGGAGTCTGTCCTCGAAGGACCGCAGAATCAAGTTGGAGACCAATAGAATAGGGCATGGGGTGGGCTTTACTGACAAGGACCAATCGAATTGAGGAGGGGCGGAGCGTCATACTACGTCAGACCGAGGCCGCCGCCGCGGGGCCTGGTTATCGTCGGTCCAGCGCAGCCCGGAGTCGCCCAGGCCTGAACTCCTACCCAGGTCCCCGGCCTGGCCTCAGCCGGCCCTACCCCAGCCTCGGGCCCACGAGGACACCGAAAACCACCCCCCGGGGGTGGGGAGCGGAGCCGCGGGTCAGCTCTGCTCGCGCCCCTAGCTGGCCGGTCCGGCCCCGCCCCCGCCCCGGGCCATGGCCCAGCCCTTGTCCCGGCCCCTCATCCTATCCCCGTCTAGCCCTTGGCCCCCAGCCCCGCCCTCGCCCCGCTTCCCAAATCGGTCCCAGCCCGGGCGTGGGTTCCAGCGAATGCCCAGGGCTAGGTCCCAACCCAGGCCGCCCTTCCAGTCCCAGTCCCTGTGCCTGTCCTGGCCGCTAACCCCGCCTATGCCCGTGTTCCACCTCCTGTCACAAATCCCAGCCCATCCCCTGTCCCAGCCCCATTCCCTGGGTTTGCTTAAGCCCCGGGCCCAAACCCTGCCCTTGCTCCAGTCCCCATCACAGCCCCTCCTTCCATCCCATTCCCAGCCCTTGTTCAAGCCCCAGTGCCTAGCACAGCCCAATCCATTATCTCAGCCTTTGCCCTCGTCTCTGTGTTTACCCAAGTCTCTCCCACTACCCACCCCTCTCTCTCATACCGTGCCCCTCTCCCAGCCTCGACTCAGATCTGGGCTCCAGCTGCCGCCAGCCTTATTGCTGCTGTTGCTGTTCTCTGTCCTTGGCCCAGGGGCTGGTGAGTGCAGAAGCAGGAAGCACCGAGGCAGGGATGGGGTTCTGGCAGGGAGGGATGGACTGGAGGGATTCAGGAGAAGTGGGACCTGGGCAGCTAGATCACTGGGGAAGAAGTGGGGAGAAATAGGGAGGAGAGAGGTCTTACACAACTGAGAGGAATTGGGAGGGTCAGAAGAGAGGACATCGTGGGCTTGAGGCCCAGCAGGTGCCTAATAGTCCCCAGGACAGAGACTCCAAGGTTTTCTTTCCTGGTGTCCATGCTGACCTCACGTTGACTCTTGCTTTTCCAAGGAAGAAAACTTGGAAACTTCTCCTGCAAGGAAGGTTTGATGGGGAGGGGTGGGGGGGAGAGACATGATCCTACACTAGAGAGCCTCTAGTCCGTTCTGGGAAGATCTGGCCTAAACTTTGAGATACTGGGCATGCATTAAAACAGGGTTAAGAAACAGTTTTGAGAACAACACGTAGCAAACAGATGGACACGGGTTAGTCATCATTATAACGGATTTTTTTTTCTTTTGGTAATGAGCCTTGTTCCAGATAAGCTTGACTTGCTTAGGAATAGTTCCTGACCTTTTTAGAGTAGTCTTGTCTAAAAAGTAGACTTTTTAGAAGTACAGTTGGAGCCATTTTATGGATGGGGAAACTGAGGCTCCGTTGGGGGGGGGGACAGTTTTCCTAAGGTCATACAAGCTTGTAAATGGTGGCACTGGGGCTTAGAAAAGTTTCCTAATTCCTGTTCCATACGAGTGGTTTTTTTCACCACAACATATGCCTAATAGGAAAATTGACCCAGTTGGGAGAAGACACAAAGGACAACCTGTCCTCTCCCATGTCTGCCCACAAGGCTTAATCCACAAACTCTTCCTCATTTGCCAGTTGTCAGCCTACAGCCACCATCCGGGGAGGAAGTGATTTGGAGAGAGAGGTCCAACTTCCTAATGGGTAGAATATGGTAGGAGGAGGGTGTCCTGGCTGTAAGGAGATGTGCCATAAAGTTGGCCCTATCTTCAGGAGGTGACTGGTCTTCATGGCCTCAACCCCCAGCCACCTCCAGTGGGTGGCACTGTAGATACGATAGAGATGTGCCTAAGGGAGTCTTTGGCAATAACACCAGAGCAGCTGAGGGCTGGAGCTGGGTTTCAGTGAGCTCTGAGGGCCTAGTTCAGTGTACAAGCTTGAGGAGATCAATATATGCCAGAGGTCATTCCCCTGCAGAGATGTCCAAGCTCTATGTGTATGTTCACCGGCATCTGGGCACTTACGTGCCTGTGTATGTGCCTGAGGGTCTCTGAGAATGTTTGTCATATGCAGTGTATGTAAATGCTTGTGTGTTGATATGTTCTGTCGGGGTGCATGTGAGCCTGTGTGTCCTCTGGGTGCCTGTGTTATGTGAGAGGGAGAATACGTGTTCCTCTTCAGCTCTTCCTGCTCCTCCTACAGATGGATCACTGAAGTGTCCCCTTCCAAATGGATTTCTTTGTCAGAGACAGTGTTTGACAGTGTTTGGTCAGCCCTAGCCTGACTCTTTGGAGGAAGGAGCTATAGAGGGGGGCTCAGTGTTGATTACTGCTGCTGGCAGGTTAGACACTCAGTAGAGGTAGGAGCCACACCAGTTTTCCAGTTTGGGTGAGGGAGAATTCTTTCTGTTGAGCCCAATTCATAGCTTCCATCCCTGCCACAATGACTTCTTTGTTCATGAGCCCATTGAGCAAGCATGGGCTGGCTAGGGAATGAGAGTGACTGACAGCCACAGAATTGTATGAAGCTGAAAGGTGTGGGTTAAAACACGATTGTCCAGGAGTGGGTTCAGGTGCTTTGGGGAGAACTGTAATGAAGTTGGAAAAGAGTACTGAATAGGCCCTACTTTGGGCAGTGTTGCCCTTAGTGCTGTTAATAATCACTGCCTTGGTGACTGCAGGGGTACTATGTGATAGATTTCACCAGGCTGCCTGTGTCACAGGACCATCATAGCACATCATAGCACTTAGCATAGTCTTAATAAATGCTTATTATTGGCTTCAGTCTCATTTCAGGAATGGAAGGTGCCTCCTGGGTCTCCCGTCCCTACCCCAATCCTTGGGTCTTTTCCTTGGGTCTTTTCCTTGGGTCTTCTCCTCAGCTGACTGTAGTTGCATAGCCCAGTGTGCCTTGCCATTCCAGGAAGTGACCTTTTGTTCTACCTAGTGTTATCACTAGCAGGGCCAGCCTCTGCCTGTATGTGTGCACGTGTGTCTGTCTGTCTGTCTGTGTATGTGCATGTATGTTTCAGCTGGTAGTGGAGAGTCACCCTAGCTTCATGTGGAGGTACTAGAGCATCCAGGGCAGCTTCATCTGAGCTTGACCAGGCCTTAACTCATGTTTCCTCTGGGCCAAAGCTCTGTTGCGAAATGCCAAACCAGAGCTTGGGGTGAATGGGGCTCAGGATGCTATCTCAAACATCTGCCCTCAGAACTTCTAGGTTCCTCCCACCATGTCCAGTTGCTGCTCACTCCATTTTCTCACCGGCCAGTTCTGTGATCTCTATAGCCCCTGGCCACTTTTGGGGTGGCTTAACTAGTTCCCAGTTCTCCAGGCCATGCCCTGTTCCTTTGAATCACAAGGGTTTTTTTGTTTGTCTATCCGTTGTTTCCCAAAAGCCGTTAGCTACTTTTCACCACCAGTTCTCTGAGCGTCCACACTGGGAGCCTGGCCAACATTTCTTCCTAACAGTAGCAATGGCCCATCCCATGACCCATCCCTGGTACCAGCTGCGGTGAGGAGAGGCCCTCCCCTGACCCCAGCAGAGGACGCTCCAGAGCTCTGCTTGCTCTTAACAACAGTATCCAAGCTATTCAGCTCTCGGCTTTCTGCCTCCGGGTTATCAGTGCTCAGCTTGTGAGGTGGCAGGTCTTCCTTGCTGACAGTTGAGACCAATCATGTGGTCTGAACTGGACTGACTAGTCCTTTGGTGTAACCATGGCCTTTGAAGATGAGGATAGGCCGGTCTAGGGCCAGTGGCCTCTATATATTTAGGGCACCTCTGGGGAGGGTGACCTTGAAGTTCAGTGGAGTCCTCCTTACCTGTGCTCCCTCCTTCACCAGCCTGTCTTTCCCAGAGGCCTCTTTCTCTGTGGTATCAAATACCTCATTTTTATATCTCCCATTTCTGGAAAGGAGACAAGGTAAGCCTTGTGGGTATTTCCTATTTGGCTGAAAACTCCCCTCCACCCGTTGTTCTGTCCTGAAGCTGCTTGAGTTCCCAGCCTTCACATCTGTCCTGGGGGTGTCCTTCTGTGCTTCTCTGGGGGTTAAGTCTCTAGAGCAGTCAGATTCTCCAGAACTTTGCCTGCCATTTGGGACACCCTTCTATGCAGCTGAGCTACAGGTGATTCTCACTATTCTAGCAGTCCTCGTGCCCATGTGTTTGCCTGGCTAGCTGCTGACACTAGACATTTTTGCTCACCTTGGCTGTGCTCTGAACAACCATGAGTAGGTATCTCTTGGCACTTCAGTTAGAGATGACCAGTCCCCCCAACCCCAAGTGGTTTGAGATTCCATGAGTCATTAACTGACTGCCTCACTGAGCCTCCCTCTGGGGAAATGCCCTCTGGTTGCTCATTCTGAATCCTAGAGGGCCTGATGACTCCCTCCTCTCCTGGGAGTTCTCTTGGTGGCCTGCCAGCTCCTGTTCTTGCCTCTGCCACCCAGGCTGGTCCTTCTCATCCTCACCACATTCCCACCCTCCCCGCCTCCTGCCCTGAGCCAGGATACAGACAGCTTTTGTGAGGCTTCTGAGAGTTTTCACTGCTCTTGGGACCACAGGGGAACAGAAAGGGGAAGAAAATAAACAAGGAAGTTAGACAGTTTCATGCTGACTTCCAAGCTCCACAGGTGGAGTTCTAGCCTGCTTAGTGGCTCACGAGCTCATGCCAACACTCACACGCAGACACACACACACGTGCACGCGTGCATGTGTGCCATTCACACCTCTGTTTTCTTAGGCTTGCTAAGAGGAGAACAATGGCTTCTAAGTGAGGGGTCATATAAAGGGTCCTGGTTTCAGATGTAGATGGATGTAGGTTTGAATTCTCCGTTTGGTCTAGGTTTGAGCCTCAGTTTCCTTATCTGTAAAAACAGGTCATTTTCCCCAAGGTCATTGTGAGGATTAAAGTGGATGATGGCTAGGCCCAGCTCCTGGCTCAGAGGAGAATATTTGTTGAGTTGGTGCTATCGGTGAGGAAGACTGGTGTGCCTGTTGCTTAGCAGAAATGCCCTGAGTCCTATGCTGCTCCTTTCTCTCTCACCTGTTCCCCAGGAGGCCTCTTCCTGACTGACTACTCCACCTGCTCACCCCGCAAGCTGAGTCCCTTCCGCTCCTTTGCCAGCACCGAGCTCTTCCACTTCCATGTTCCCGAGGACACGTTCCTGGCTGTTTGGAACCTCATCATCTTCAAGGAGCAGGGGGGAACCTTTGGGGACCACTGCCCAGACCAAAGTGTGACTGTGTGAGTGTCCAAGTTAACATCCTGACCCCCACCTTCCACCCCAGACCACTCTCCAAACTAAAGTGTGACCTTATGAGTATCTAAACTGACCTCTTGACCCTGACCTCTGACCCTTGTCCAGATTGAAGTGTGACTGAGTGAGGGACAACCCTTTGTCTCCTGACTACTTCCTGAGTACTGTTTGACTGTGTGAGAGTCTGAGCCGACCTTTTACTCTCTATGTCCTGACTCCTGACCCAGAACCACTTTGTTGTATGTATCAGTATAGGGAATTCACTTATGTTATTGGTGATGAGTTTACAGTTCTTCTTTTCCCCGTTTCCTGTCTCCCACCCCATTGTATATTGTCTTCCTCTTCTCATTCTGGTCCCCCAGGTATTTCCGGTCTGGGGCACCCCCTGTCATCAATCCTCTGCACACACACTTCCCAGGGGACACCGCTGTGCCTGGGGTTTTCTCACTGACCCTCAGCTGGACACTGCCCAACCGCACCTCAGGCATCTTTAACGTCAGCAGCCCCTTACCTGGGGACTGGTTCTTGGCTGCCCACCTTCCCCAGGCCCACGGCCACATCTCTGTCAAGGTGGGTTAATGCTGCCCAGGGAAGGAGGGGCTAAAGCTGCTTCTCTATGTCTGCTGAATTCCCTCCACAGGCTACTTGACACGCTAATCTTGTGCCAGGGTGCGTAACAGCATAAGGGTGGCTAGGGTGAGGCATAGCTAGAGGGCAGCAGTTCACCAGGTGGGCCAGAGGTCATGATCTGTAGGAGGCAATTTGGGAGCCTTAGGAGGATATAGTGGGTCCCAGGTTAGCTGAAGGGAGAGTCCAGAGTCTGGAATTGGTCAGACTCCTGGCACTGTGGAGTAATGTGCCTATTAGAAGGTGCAAGGGTTATTCAAGGTGATCGGAAGCCAGCCAGGGACTGGTCATATGCTGCTGCACAAACCCAGGACTGGTCTGATTCTACATCTTGATTGGTGATAGCCCTGCAGACTCTCATAGGCTCCAGCTCAGTCATTGGTCCATCTAGGAGAATACATTCCTCTTCTCTCATAATTTCAGCCCCCTACATCCTCTGAAAGGTCATAGCCCCCATACACCCTCTGAAAGAACACTTGGGGGCACGGAAGCCCTTTCCTATTAAAAGGATGCTTAGGGCAACTGGTGCCCATCTTGACTGTTTGCTTCCCTTTTCTCTAAATATCAGCACTGATTTCATAGAACAGTGGTTTTTAAAGTCTGAAGTGTAGGTTCAAAGGTCAGGTCGCTTCTCCATTCTGGTTAGGTGAGGAAAGAAATGCCACAAAGTTTTCCTGCCGCTCCCAAGTGCTGGTCAGGCCAGATTTCCTCCTTGTAGTGATAGGATCTATAGGCTTCTTACTCTTATCCACTGGCAGGAAGGGAGGGTATGATGAGTTGGCCATTGGCAGAGTGAGATGGCCATGTGTGTGGGGCCAGTGGTAAGGGTGAAGGACAGCATGAACGGAGCAAGAATTTAAAGAACAGGATGCTGAAGAACATGAAATCTAGTGGGACTTGGCCACTGAGAATTGAAAGGGGCGGAAATTTCCAATCAGGTGAAGCTTGACTCAGATATATCTCTCCAGGCTAAGTTCCTTGAGGGCAGGGGCTCAGTGATTGCATCAGGCTCGCCTCTCCTCCCCCTGCTATATATAGCTCGGTGTTCAGAGAAGGTGTTGTGAGGTTTTTGAATGAGCTGAGAACTGTACAGGGCCAAGTGCACTGACACTGCTATTGTCAGAGATGGGAACTAGGCTGAGGTAGCATCCTGAGGCCTCAGTGATAGGCCTGTTTTTCCCGAGAGTGATGTGCCAGAGAATTTCCTGCCAAAGCCTGGGAGTCCTGTGCATGACAGTGTGTTAGTAACTCACCCGGAAATGGCTCTGGGTTCTGGATGGATCTTGACTCATCAGAACTCAGGGTTATTCTATTCTGAGGCGTGTCCTAGGTCTCTAGCCAAATCCCAAAGAGCCCATTCCTGATTGTAACTTTGATCTTTGACTCTATTTGTGAGAACTGACAGGGAAAATTCTTCTGAAGCCCTGTTCTAGTTATCCAAAAACCTTTCTGGATGGGCAAGAGGAACCTGGGGCCTCGGCCTGGACTGGGATTATAGCAGCCAATGCCTGGTTAGGAGAGGTCAGAACTAGCCTTGACATAGCCATTTGCATCTAGATAGAGGAAGTGGAGTCTGGGGATTTGGAACTGCAGGCTGGAGGGTTAGCCAGCAGAACTTCTGGGATGTGGCAATATTAGAGACAAGGGGGCACAATTGTACCTTGCCCAGTGAATGGCAGCAGACGTGGATACCATGAGAGATGTAGACAAGGCCTTTTCTAGAGGCTTCAGAGCGGGGACAGGCAAGGATCATCCTTGTGGTTCCCCTAAGAATTTGATTATCTCTTGGAATCTCACATGGGGCTCTAAGGATTCTTAAGTTCTCTGGGTAATTCCATAGATTCAGTCCTGTGGGTGAATTGTCCAGAGCATTCCTCCAGGGCTCCGTCTTCTCCTCTTGCTTTCTCCTTATACCATTGTCCTGATTTCCTGTGAGGCTTCGCCTCAGGTAAGGACTGAAGAGTCCCAACCGTAAGAAGGCAGCACTGTTTCTAGGGCCCTCCTCAGCTTTAGACCTTTAGTCCTTGAGTATCTGCTTTGCTTCCGACCTCAGATTGAGTGTGAGGGACACAGATAAATAAGATGTATAATAGTGAGATACAGGGGATGTTTTAAGAGGACAAAGGAGAGATAGCTTACTCAACTTGGAAGTATGGTGAGGCGGTTTTAGGAAATAGGAAGTGAGGCCTGATGTCAAGAAAGCAAGGAAAGGCATTCCCGGTGGTGGAAGTAGCATGGGCTAAAGCACAGAAGGGAGAAATGAAGTGGGTGAGGGTGGGGTGGTTGTTGGAGTGGGTGAAGGAGCTGGAGGGGTGAGCAGAGAAAATCATGAAAGACCTAGGAGTTTGCACTTTATCCTGAGAGTGATTGAGACCCTTAAGAGCTTGTAAAAGGGAAGTGACTTATCTGGCCCAGGCCCTTCTCCTGAGCTCTGTGGAGAGCTCCTGTGAGCTCCTGTGTCTACGCCATTCACTACTGTATTCCTAGCACCCAGCACAGAGCACAGAGCCTGGCACGTAGTGAGGGCATGGCAAATTTTTATTGTTCTTCTGCCATCATCTCAAATTCATAGTGTCCAAAACTGATCTCACTTCTCCTTTCCTTTCCCCCTTTTCCTATCAACTTCTTCTGTCTTGACCCATGCCCTCCATCGCCTTACTTTCCCTGCCTTGGAGCATGTGCTCGTTCTGTGGTACTCGGTCTGCACTGAAGGACTGGCCTTTAGATTGTAGGTAACATCTGGCACCCACAGGGCTCATTAGGGGAAAGTTTTCCAAATGTCTGGAGCAGAGTTCTCCCCAAATGTTTCCTCTTTCCAGCCCCAAGATTTGAAAGTAAATGAAAGCAGGTAAACTAATGAAAACAAGGATAAGGAAAACAAAGCAGACCAGAGAAATAAAAATTCAGCTGAATCCACCAACTAAGACCAAGTGTAGCTCTGTGTCTCAACCTGAAGAGATTAAAATCTGCTAACAGTGCTCATTCCTCCTTCTAAATTATTATATTTGTGTTTCAAATAGGTAATATATGCACCTGGTACAACATTCGAAAGGTACAAAAGGCATACAGTGAAAAGTAAGTCTTCCTTTCATCTCCTTCCAGTACCCACTTCCCCTCTCCAGGGTTAAGTAGTAACTAGCTGTTAACTAGTTCCTTATATTACTCTTTCCTAATTGAAACACTTTCTCCTTTTGGCCTTTGTGACTTTACAGAACTGTCCTGATTTTCCTCCTGTCCACTACTTACTCCTTCTCTGTCTCCTTTCTTGGTGTCTCCTCTGCCTGGTGCATATTGTGGGGCCCCAGTGCTTGGTCCTGGACAGCTCCTTTTTTAATTTCTCCATTCTCTTGCCAGGCATCTCCAGCAGAATAGTTTTAAATACCACCTCTAGGTTATGCCTCCCAAGTGTATTCCATGAGTTCTAATTTCTTTGAACCTCAGACTTTATATTTAACTGCCTACTTGGGTGCTCACTTCGGGAGTACGTATACTAACTGCCTACCTGGTATCTCTGATTGGATGTCTAAGAAATGTCTCAAACTCAGCCTGTACAACTCAAAACAAAGGCAAAAGTAAAAATCTCTTTGATTCCCATTTTACTTCCTCTAGCCTAAGCCTCCTCTCTCTCTCGTCTGCTTCTCCATAAGTTGGCACTGCTATTCACCATTTGCTCAAGCCCCAAATTTCGGTGTCATACTTGATTTTTTTTTCTTTTCCCTTTATTTCTCTATAGCTAGTCCATAAAGAAAAAGTCTTGTTGACTCTACTCCTAAAGCGCGTTCTAGAGGCATCCGTTTCTCTTTCCACTCTGAGCACACCTTCCCTGGGCTTTCTCCTGGGCCACTGCTGTAACCTCCCAGGCTTCTCCCTGCTGCCACTCTTGCCCCCTGCAGTCTGCCCAGCACTCTTCCATGTTGATCGGCGCTGACCAACTGTTGGCCTGGGGCTGTGCTGGGTACCAGGATGTCCCTACAGAGAAGGGCAAGTGTCTTTGGGCATCTTAGTCTGTAAGCCCTATCCAGAGTCTGGTACTGGCCACCTTTCTCGGGCCTGCCTTAGGAAACTCAGCCTGACCGTACTAGGACAGTCTAGAGTTCAGCTGAAGGCCTTCCTCCCCAGCGTCTTTCAGACTGGTTCGCACTCTACTTCTCATTTTGGCCCCGCTGGTTTCTCAAGTGTCCTTGCTTTGGCCCTGTTGCTTACATGACTGCTGATGTTGGCTCAGTTTGGACCCTCTCACTTGGCTTGTGCCTCAGCAGCTCCTGCACACCTGGCTTCTGGTGTCCTTTCTCTTGCCCTATCATAGGATGAAGGCTGCTGTATCTCCGCACCTTCCCGGCTCTCCATTGATTGAATGCTTCCCTCCACGATAAGGGAGGAGTGTTAGATGTGCACATCATATGGTTTAAGGAAGGAGCACATTTTAACCATAGAGTTCATGTCCACTGATCCTTCAGTTAAGCCAACAGCAAGACGGATGTGAAGCAAAGTGTCTCTTCCCCTGAATTGTCCATCCAGCAAGGAAATGGGCTATCTTCCGAGTGTGAGCCCCCACCCTTGGGGCTTGCTCACTGCAAGGCTATTGTGGTGGTGATTCCTGCTGTAGGAAGTGGGGTTAATGAGGTGACTTGTGTTAGTATTTCTGGCCCTTAGGGTTTGACACCAAAGATGAAGGATCTGCTTTGGATATCAGAGATGGAGGTCTCTGAGCAGCTGGGTAGGTTAAAGAATTCTCTGAAAGGACCCTCTTTTTGATACCCATTCTTTAACTTAGCAGATACTTTTTTAGCATCTAGTATTTGCCAGGTGGTGTGCTAGCATTGAAGATGCAATGGTGCAAAAGGCACCGAAGAATTCCAGGTGAAGGGTAGTAAGATCCTCTGGCCTGGCATCCATCAAGTCCTTCTTCCAGTCTTTTTTTTTTTTTTTTTAAGCTTTTTTTTTTTTTTTAATGTTTTATTTATTTCTGAGAGAGAGACAGTGTGAGCAGGGGAGGGTCAGAGAGAGAGTGGGAGACACAGAATCTGAAACAGGCTCCAGGCTCTGAGCTGGATGTCAGCACAGAGCCCGATGTGGGGCTCAAACCCACGAACTGTGAGATCATGACCTGAGCCGAAGTTGGACGCTTAACCGACTGAGCCACCCAGGCACCCCAGCCTTCTTCCAGTCTTGTGGAGCTTTGCTGGAAGTCAGTGCCTTGGCTGGCTTGTTCCATGGCATGGAACTCAGTGGGATATCACAGCCTGCAACTTTTGTCAGAATGAGGTTTAGAGGTTTGTCTTGGTAAGAAAAAACAAATAAATAAACAGTGGCCTCCAGTTTAGTGGGCCCGCAGAAGGCCATTTGTCCAGAATAACAGAAGCCTAATCAGGAACCCATCCTCTGAATTGCTAGGATCGGAGGGCTTAGGCAGCTGCAGATGCTGCCGAGGAGGAACCAGAACAAAGGGCCTGTGCCCACTGAAGAGGCTCTCTGTGCTGGGGTGGGTTGAACTGAGTCGACAAGGGTCAGAGATTTCACCCAGAAGAGCAGCTTAGATGTGACTGTTGTCCAGTAATGGAAGAAACCCAGCCTGATTTAGAAGAAGCAGATGTATTTGTGGGTCCTTTGAGGCAGAGCAGTGGGAGGGGAGACAGAAAACAGGCTTTGGCTTCATAAACACCAGAGCTGCCCCCAGCTGTGTTGACTCATTCATTCATTCATTCATATATTCAGCAGACATTCATCTGTGAAGTATGCACTTTATATTAGGTTCCATGCCTGGGGGAGCAAAAATAAAATAAGACACGGTTCCTGTTTCCAAGTTGTTTACAGTCTGGAGGTTGCCTGGGAGGTAGAGTGGCCCTTCCCTGGAGGTGTTAAAGCAGAGACTGGACAAACACTTGGGAGGGCAGGTGGGGGATAAAGGAAATTAAAGATTCAGATTAGTAGGCTGGGGTGGGTTGGGACTAGAGGCCTCAAGGAGCCTTCTAACCCCCAAAAAGCCAGTGTTCCAAGGTTTTGAGGGCTTGGAGGGGAAATGGGGTAGTTTGAATTCGCCTCCAGGGATGGTCCAGGGGTGCTCAGGAGGAGGGGTTAGAGTGGAGGAGGGGCAGGCCTAATTGTCGGGAGGGCCTGGGTCTGAGTCCCCAAACCTCAGCCAATGCTGAGGATCACAGCAAATCCTACAGATCTAAGAAAGGCAGAGATGCAGACAAGGCAGGAGGGACCTAAAGCCTAGAGAGACCTCAATCCTAACCCTGGGGGCAAGAGGCCAGAGGAGCTCTGTCCCCCACCCCTCAGGAGACTCTGTTTGTCTTGCTTTAGTAGCACCCTTGCTGTCTCTCCCGTCCCACCACCCCTGCTTTTGTCTCAGGGTCTCCAGGATGAGTGTCAGTACCTCCTTCAGCCTCAGCTGATTGTCCGGCGTTTGCTGGATGTTGCTGTGCTGGTGCCTGGCCGTCCCTCAGAGCAAACCCTCTCCCCGCACAATCGCTCAGCCCTGTACAAGTAAGTCAGATACTCCCCCAAACCTGACCCTTTCCCTCTTCCTTCCCCAGCCTCAAACAGGCAACAGCATTCTTTTGGCTTCTTCTCTCCCTCTGGCCGACCTGGGCTGCTGGGCCACCCAGAGCCCCCAGGGTGGGTTGGCCCTCTGCCTCCCTCTCTCTCAGCATGGACAGGAGGACCTGAAAAGGCCTCCTGTTCTGTATCCCTGTCCCTCCGTGCTGACTTCTTCCGAGTGTTTTCCTCATTCCAGTGTCCTTCTCACCCTCTCACCTGTCCTTTCTCACCTCCAACCTCCTCTTTGCCCAGGGTCTTTGTGCCCAGCTTTACTTACAGGGTTTCAGCACAGCTGGTATGTGTGGGGAGCCGCGGGGCATCGGCCTGCCCCCTGACACTGCGCCTACGTCCCAAGGCCCCACCCCTGCACAACTCAAGCTCTGTATCCTGTGGAGGTGCCTCGATGTGCCAGCTGGAGCTGGCGCTGCCCCCCTGGGGACACTGGGTCTACGTGCGTGTGGAGATACCATCCCGGGGACCTGGCAGGACCATCCGCTTCCAGCTGTGTGTGCGGTTGCAAGGTCAGAAGCCCCACATCTGCCTCTGCCACTCAGCCTGTGCTGATAGCTGTGGCTGGGAAGGGGCAGCATGGCGGTCATGGTCGTTGACCCTCTGGCAAGTCCCTGTAGTCTGCCCACCCCCATCCAGGCTCCTTCACACTCCTCAGAGCCCTACCAACTTGGAGCTTTGATTCATTGGAAGGCCTTCAGGTCATTATTTTGCACCGGATTTGGGGCTAACTAAGGGACCTCAATATTCTCCTTGACTTAGTCTCTCTTTCAGTTTCCTGGGATAGGCAGGGGCATCGAAAACCTCTGGGTCACTGCCCCTGCCAAAGCCCGTGCCATTCACTGACAGGGGGCCCATCATCTGTTTCAGCAGTGTCTTCACTGCCCTTAGGGAGGGACAGATGACCTTGACTCCCTCCACATGACATTCCATGAGCTGTGACCACTAGGAACCCCTTGGGCCCAATCCTGTGACCCTGAATGCTCCATATTCCCGAGAAACATTTGATTCTAGTTCTTGTCTCTCCCTATGCTTTGCTAATTTCTGTCTGGCTCAGTTTTAGTTTGTGGTGGGGCTGTAGGGCTTGTGAGGGTGGCAGGCCCCAGCACTGATTTCCTCTGCCCACAGAGTGTCCGCAGCCGAGCCTGTCCCGGGTCCTGGTCCCTGGAGCTGCCATGAACATGCCCCAGTCCCTGGGCAACCAGCCACTGCCCCCAGAGCCGCCATCCCTGGGGGCCACTCCTGAGGGGCCTGGAGTGACATCTCCACCAGAGCACTGCTGGCCAGTGCGCCCAACGCTGCGTAATGAGCTGGATACCTTCTCTGTCCACTTCTACATCTTCTTTGGCCCCAGCGTGGCCCTTCCCCCCGAGCGCCCGGCAGTGTTTGCCCTAAGGCTGCTGCCGGTACTGGACAGCGGGGGCGTCCTCAGCCTGGAGCTCCAGCTCAATGTGGTACTCTTGGTGGAAAGTGGGGGGAGGCGGGTGCCCTGGAGGGGAACTTGAAGGAGAAGGTGTCAGGAGTGTGGGGGCTCTTACCTCCTTCTGGAAGCATATCTGGGTTGCTTTTGACCAACTTTATGATTAGTGACCATGTCTCAGCCCAATTCTGGTCACCAGACATTCCTCTGAGTATTGACTCTACCACAGATGGCCTAGGTCAGCCAGGGCAACTCAGAGTGGGCTAAGTTTTATCCCAGTTTTAGAGGCTAACTTTCCACTTCCAGAGAGTCTCTCTGGCAAGTGTTCACTTTTCTTGCCTATCTCCTGTGATGGGGAGATCATCACCTCTTGAGGCCATGCACTCCATATTTAGACAGCTCTGATTGCTAAAGGCAGTTTTCACATTCCATGAAAATCTCCCTCCATGGATTTCTACCCACCAATCTTTGTTTTGCCCCTGAAGCTACAGCCAGTAAATCTATCCTTGTCCTTTTTATTTTATTAATGAATAGACTTGATTTTTCAAAGCAGTTTTAAGCTTATAGAAAAATGGAGCAGAAAGCAGAGTTCCCCTATTCCCCCTCTTTCCCTGCACAGTTTCCTCTATTATTTACATCCTGTATCAGTGTGGTACAGTTATATTCTATCCCATTTTAAAGGTCCTCCAGATGCCCCTCAATCTCCCCAAAGCTGAACAACCTCAGCATTGTAGACCTCTGCCCATTCTCCACTGTCTCCTCCAGTCATGGTGTCTGAGATCAGTGATTCAAGGGGGCAGGCTGTGTTTGTGCAGCCTGAGATCGAGTTCTCTCTTCTGGCTTCCACATCACGCTGGGAATCACCTGGGGCTGCAGGAACTAAGATCTTGAGGCCTTTTCCTTTTTATTTTCTTCAAAACAGTAGTAGACGTTTATTTTGTTTTTTATAAAAATAATAGGATCACATGTAAAGTTTTGGAAAATCAAAGACATAAAATTGTGTGTCCTCTCAGTCCTTCTTTATACTAACTTCTGTGTTTATCTGCTTGCACCCAAGGGACGTACACATTTTCATGCCCAGAGCCTGGCTCATGTGAACTGCTGCCAATTCCTGTCTCATATTTTTTGCAGTGAACTTTGTAACTGAATGGAAGAATTTATGTCCATCTTTGAGCCATTGCCTAATACTAGTTTGGGCCTTGGGCCTTCCCTGCTTTATGTAATTCACACACTTGAAAAGCCAGCCTTCTGTACCTCTTACTCATTATTTTCAGCATTATATAAGACGGGGCTTAGGGCAGAGCCCTGTGTCAGGACCTTAGGGACTGTCTTAGATTGTCATTGATCCAATAATTTGTGTGCTGTTTCCCCAGCAAGGCTTTTTTTTTTTTTTTTTTTTTTTTTAAAGACTCTATTATTCCCCTGCTCTGGGGACAGGCACCATTTTCCTATCAGCCAACCTGAGACCTGGTCTGTGGCTAAATGTGGTCTTTTTTGGGCATGGCTCAGAACTTTTACTCCTTCTGCTAGTCGGGACAGCGCAGATTCTTCAACCTGAAGACATTCCTTATCTTCGTTCTTAAATTCTGACTCTTACTTCCTTTGGGCAGTGACAGTGAGGTCTTGACCTTGAAACTATAGCACCCATTTCAGAGACCAGCACCATGCATACTTGTTCTTCCCCAGTTCTGCAGTTCTTCCCTGCGGCTTCTCCCTGCCCCTTTCTGCATTCATCTGCTTATATTATACCCATCTACATGCCATGACCTTTGTTACCCACTGCAAACAGTCCGTTATATTTATTCTGGAAGATAATGGCTAATCTACTCTGATTTTTCCATCTACGTATTTTGACTTTTTCCCTTGGAATCCAGTACTGAACATTTGGATCAGAGAACTGCATACCTTTTTCCTTTGGCTTCCCACTAGAATGACTTTTATGGAATACTCTGGTGTATTACCCTGGCTTGCATTGAAGGAAGTTATAAGCAAGTTGTATGAAATTCACCCTTGTGGTTGAGGACAAGATGCATGACAGAACGCAGTGCTTCTTCGATGAGAATTTTCCTGAGAACCACTCCTTTGGATGCTGTACTTCTGAGACTCTGATTAAATTTTATCTTATGGACTCATAAGATAAAATCTGGTAACTCATTATGTTTCCTTTTATGCTGTGGTTGCTTGGAAGTCAGCATCAAATATACGGCTCACAGCTAGAGACAGACCTTATTTTCCTATCTTGATCTTTAAATTTCCCTCATGGCACTTATTTTATCCTATTATATGCATTTAAAAAGCTACCTCAAATCCTTCTTGAATGAGGTGAGCTTACAGCATCCTGTTACTTTTATTCTTGTATACACTCCTTACGTTTACTCCTGTGGATATCTGGTTTCTTTAAATCCCAGACAGGTTGTTGCATTAACCCCTCAGGCATTCTTTTACTGGTATTCAGTACCTAGGATCATTTCACTGGAGGAAGAATACATTTCTTTACATGCCTCCTGCCTTCAGACCCAGGTGAAGATGTGAAGACGATTGAAAACCTGACAGTTCCCTTTGTTCACGACCAGTTTCTACATCCAGCAACAGTCCCCCTCTAGTCCCTCCAGCAAGCTAGACAGGACTGAAACAGAGTATTCTCTCTTGTCTAGACAGAGTTTAAACAATTCCTGCTCAAAGACAGCATTCAGAATTGGGCCTTGCCTTCTCATTAGTCTTTGAAAGATCTCTGCTGTGGAAGATCTGGTGTTCTCCAGTTTTTCTGTTTTAAGAATGGAGAAGAGAGAGGGAGAAGAGAAAAAGGTGGGGGTGGGGGTGGGGAGAGGAGAAAGGCCAGCTTTGATGTGGAGAGCACCTGCAGGAATGGCTGTCCAGTGAGCTCCTGCAGGGGTTTCTGGAGAGGGGTTAACAGGTGAAGGGTCTGGGGGCGGTGGGGTGGTACTAGGGCTTGAAGGGTGTGACATGTCTTCTTCATACCCACCCTCCTCAGAGCTCCCTGCACCAGGAAAATGTGACAGTGTTCGGATGCCTGACTCACGAGGTGCCCTTGAGCCTGGGGGATGCAGCAGTGACCTGTTCTAAAGGTGGGGGTGAGGAATGGGGAAAGCAGAGGAGGCTTTAAGTCTGCGGCTGGGGGCAGTAGGGGAGGGTATGGAGGAAGGATGGGCTAGGGAAGTGGGGTCTGGTGGGTGAAGTTTCTTTATGTCTTGACCCCATACTGATTCCTCCTCCCTCTTATTGATATCCCCTCTTCTCCCTTCTCCTCTAAGACTCCTTGGCTGGCTTCCTCCTCTCCGTCAGTGCCATTTCCAGACTGGCCAGGCTGCGAATCCCCTTCCCACAGACTGGGACCTGGTTCCTGACCCTCCGCTCTTTGTGTGGCGTGGGGCCTCGGTGAGCCAGGTGGGGCAGGGCGGGGTCGGGACAGGGAAGTAGTAGCCGGGGCCCCAGGTGACCATGGCCCTCATGTGCGCAGGTACGTGCGGTGCCGGAACGCGACGGCCGAGGTGCGGCTGCGCACTTTCCTGTCCCCTTGCGTGGATGACTGCGGGCCCTATGGCCAGTGCAAGCTGCTGCGCACGCACAACTACCTGTATGCGGCCTGCGAGTGCAAGGCCGGTGAGCGGGCTGGGCTGGCGAGTGAACCGCGGGGTGGGCTCCTGGGTGGGAGAGGGGGGCTGGTTTGGACTGCGGTGACAGCTAGAATTGAGGATGGGTTTGGAGAGGATGCGAGGGCGGAGCCAGAGTGAGACCACCCTCCACTGGCAGTAGCGTTGGGCCTGGCAAGAGGCTGCTGACCCCATGGCTACCTTGAGCCCTCTCCCATCTTCCGCCTTGCGCTCTCCCCACTCACAGGGTGGAGGGGCTGGGGCTGCACTGACAGTGCAGATGCGCTCACCTACGGATTCCAGCTGCTGTCCACACTACTGCTCTGCCTGAGCAACCTCATGTTTTTGCCACCCGTGGTCCTGGCCATTCGGAGCCGATACGTGCTGGAAGCTGCTGTCTACACCTTCACCATGTTCTTCTCCACGGTATGCTGTGCATCTGTGTCTTCACCAGGTCCTTATTTTATGGTGATGGGTGAGGGTCTGCACTTCCACCGCGTTTTCCATGGGTTTGGGGATGTCTACACCTTCATTATATGAGAATGTCTCCTCGTCAATGGTGTCTTCTACAGCAGTACCATGGCGTGTGAAGACTATGGTAATTTTTGTAAGGCACATCAGGATAAATTAACAAGGCTGCTTGTCACCTAAGATAACCAACAGCCACTAGAAACAGTGTGTGTTCTCCAGATGTGTCACACCCCAAGGGCCAAGGAGACCTTTACTTAAACACACCGGCTGTCTTGTAGTATGGAATGGTGTCTACAGCCTCACCTTTTCTGCTCTGAATGGGGGCAAGAGATCTGCACTTTCTCCCATGTCTCTGTATGGGGTCTCCACTTCTCATGATGTGAGGGCTAGCTACACTGTATCCGTGTTTGTCATTGTCCCGGGGATTGCTGCATCTTCAGCATGTTCTTATGGTATGAGAAGGAATATCCCCATTAAGTCACCACAGCCTCCTTGATTTCTCATGAGACTTTTTGGAAGACAGAGAGGATCTCTATACCGGTAGTTTATAGAGCATTCTGGCTCTTGGGATCCTAAGAAATTTTACGGACTCAACTACTTCTAGAGACATCATGGTAAGTGGTAGTGTAATATAAAATTCCAGCTCAGAGGAGCATATTTTGATGAAGATTAGTATAGTTTTAAATCCTTGTTTTAAATTTAAATCCAGAATGTCCACAGTCCCCACTCTGTGTCTTCCCATTCCTCCACAAACAGAAAAGTTCATATTACCAGCAAGCATCGCAGATAGCATAAGGAAAAGGTAAAGAGTGAGCCTGTGAATATGACATAACCCTCATGTAGACTCCCCCCGAGATGCTGCATCTACGGATCTTTTCAGCTCATCTCTGGACTCTTGGCATCTCGTGACATAAAGTGCCTGCTTATGAGCACTGCAGAAATCTTAGATGGATTCAGACTTTCCTCTTGTCTTGGCAACAAGAATCACAGAAACTAATATGTGTTTCCCTTTTGTTCAGCATTAATAGATCACACATACGTCCAAATTACAAAAGTCCTACTTATCATTCAGGAGAAAGTGGGGGGTGAATTGAGGGGCATGCTGTAGGGTCCTCCAGGATGTTCGTGCACAGATGAAGAGAAGGCTGTAACCATGCCCTGTAGAGAGACCTTGGCCTCTTCAGCTGGGTGAGAAGGACACATTCTAGTTTTGCTTGGCTCCGCCCCCCCAACCCGCTCCTTTTAGACCTGTTCTGACAGTGCCTCATTCTATTTTTATAGTAGATGCTGTTTTCTCTTCTATACTGCCAGATGCCCTTTATACTGTTGCTACTGAATCCTCTAGCAACAGCTGCTCCACCAGCCCACTCTTAGCTGCATGCAGATCTAGTGGGATTCACAGTTAGTAAGGGTACCTAAGTGTGTCAGGAGCCTGGAGCATGTGGGGAGAGAGTGTCCATTCTCTGCACTTTACACAAGCATCCTGGGCATTGACTCCAGAGTGTTTAATATACCAGATGACTTCTCATATTCTGGATACAGGGGCAAATCGTCCTTGAAAGAAAAGACCTTTTCTCCAGTTGGAACACCACGGGAGCCTCCAGTGACTGACATCACATACAGAGCTTCCACTTTCTTAAATGGGCTAAGCAGAGTGCCTGGCTGGCTCAGTCAGTAGACCATGTGACTCTTGATCTCAGGGTCATGAGTTCAAGCCCCATGTTAGGTATGGAGCCTACTTACAAAAGAAAAACAAACAATAATAAGCAAAAGATCAAGGAAAAGATACTGGCTCTGAGGTATTACCTGAAGTCTTTCTCTAACCCCTATTCTTTTACCACATGGGCCAAAATGTAGAGCTACTAGTCATCCAGTTTTCCTGGGCACGTTCTCCATCGCTCTTCCTTTCCCATTCTTTACTTAGTTTAGACTTACTTCATTCCTCAACAGTCTCCATTTAAGGACCCATTGGTCATATTGCAGGTAACAGTACCAGGACGGTAGATGACAGTCTTCCTGTCTTCAAATTGAGGACAGTCTACACCTGGGAGTAGTGCATCGAGTCCTATCCAGGGCATGGGAGCAGACAGTAGGTTTCAGGAGTTCAAAGTATAAATATGTAAAATATTTAAAATGCAAAATATGTTACATAAAATATAAAATACATTAAAAGAAAAACAGGTCACAAATCCAGCACTGGATTTTGTATGTAGCCAGACCAGTTCAGATAATGGTAACAACAAAATAACATCTAGTGTGTCAGGCACTGCTAACAGAGTTCTCACAATAGCACCAGAGTAATAGATTAGTACTTTTTTTTTTAAGTTTATTTATTTATTTTGAGAGAGAGATAGAACGCACACATGCACAAGCAGGGGAGGGGCAGAAAGAGGGAGAGAGAATCCCAAGCAGGCTCCAGGCTGTCAGCGTAGAGCCTGACTTGGACTCAATCCCATGAACTGTGAGATCATGACCTGAGCTGAAATCAAGGATCCGATGCTTAACTGACTGAGCCACCCAGGCGCCCCAATAGGTACTTTTATTATCATCATCCATTTTTGCAGATGAGGGCAGTTTACATACTTTGTCTGATGTGTAACATGAGTGGCAGAACCACAGATCCCTTACATGTAATCACTAAGCTATATTGTTCTAGTACCAAGGCAGTGAGGCAGTTGACAAATCTCTAACCTGACTTTGGTTTTTCAGAAATCCTGAAAAACCTTATGTAGAGAACCTTATGACTTCAGTTTAATTGTTCTCAAATTCTTTTTTTAAAAATAGTTCTCAAGGGGCACCTGGGAGGTTCAGTCGGTTAAGTGTCTGACTCTCATGGTCGTGAGATTGAGCTCCGCATTGGGCTCCATGCTGACAGAGCAGAGTCTGCTTGAGATTCTCTCTCTCCCTCTCTCTCTGCCCCTCTCCCATTCACACACACACACACACACACACACACTCTCTCTCTCTCTCTCTCTCTCTCTCTCAAAATAAATAAATGAACATCAGAAATTAAAATAGTTCACATATTCTTAAAAAATAAGAAGGGTCAATGAAAAGATCAGAAAATATAACCAAATATAAGAAATCATCAAGGGAAATCTATGAATCATTGCAGTTGTGCAGCTCTAACACCTGTAGTCTGAGCCGTGAGCCCTTTGCAGTGCCAGTCGGACCCTTATACTCCCCAGAGACCCAGACAGAGCTGACATCTGGGGCTTTCCTTGTGGACTGCTGACATCCTGGCTACAAGCCTGCCTTCTCATACCTCTTCTGTTCCTCATACCTCACAAGAAATTCTTAGTGACGCTTGGCAAAATCCCATGACTTCTTCTAAGTGGAAATGGAAGGAGAAAATAAGACAATAACAGTAAGTTCCATTATATCCTGAGTGCAAATATTCCAATCTTCGCATGGATTGAATATATTTGCATTTCCAGTTTTACATTCTGTAGTGCCTGGAAACTCCATTTTGAAGCATTAGATGAACTTTATAGTTAGGTTGTAAAAACATAAAATTCCATAGAAGAAAAACCTTACGTTAATTTAAAAAAATTAACTCATAAGTAAAGAATGGTCCAAAGCTGAGAAAGTGTCAAATTAAATTAGAATTATATTAACAGAAGCCAATTAAAAATTTTTTTTAATGTTAATTATTTTTGAGGGGGAGAGAGTGCAAGCGGGAGAGGGGCAGAGAGAGGGAGACACAGAATCCAAAACAGGCTCCAGGCTCTGAACTGTCAGCACAGAGCATGACGGGGGCTCGAACACACAGACTGCAAGATCATGACCTGAGCCAAAGTCGGACGCTCAACCGACTGAGCCAGCCAGGCGACCCTAACAGAAGCCAATTTGTAGTCTAACTTTTTTTCCCTAAATTTACTTATTTTTCTGTGTTATTTCTATCCCTTCTTTTTATTGTTGCTAACACAAGGAATACCAATGTAAAAAATAGCCCATAATTTTCAGTATATCAACGATATTACAAGTTTGTTTATTTCTGCATGGAGGAAAGTTTATTAGAGTAGGGATGTGCTTTCATGAACATACATGGCATAAAGTATAAGATTACTAGAGCTTACTGAGCACATACTGGGCACCAAACATCCAGGAGAGTATTCCAGACTTTCAAGTAGTCTCCCAGTGACACCATAACTAAGCCTTCAGTAGGCCATTCCAGTGTTTTGTTCAGCTGGTTGCTTCTAGGAGAGTTGGGCAGTATGTTTACACCAGTGAATTCTATGGTGGTGAGTGATTTGCTTTACTTTGTTTACTACCAATTGCGTCTCCTTTTAAAGATGGTAATGAGTGGGGCACCACGACAAGGGATAATGGATTCTGCTCCATGAATAATAGAGCAGGTGGAAGCACTGCAGGTAGAAGGGACAAATATGTATATACCCAGAATGTGTGATGACAAGATGCTGTCTTCTCCAGGTTGAGGAGTTTCCATGAATTAAGCTGACACAGGCTGTTGGCTGGCTTCCCCAGCAAACTGTGCCCCATGAAGGAGTCGGTGATGGGCTTTGCCAATGGCGTTTTTAGACATTCAGCAGTGACTACCCAGATCAGGATTGGTGTTCTCCTCACGCTGCAGTTTTAATTTGACTCTACCCCTGTGGGTTTCCTAAAACCTTAAACAATCTCTCTGACCTTTTAGTATGCTTGGAGAATAATCAACCATAGAATACTAGTGAGATGATTGCTCTCCAAACCTCTCTACTCCAGAGACAAGCTCTCTATTATCCTCTACTCTTCTTTCAGTGCAGAGAAATTCCTAGGAGAAACTCAGCCTTCAGTTAATTATTCCTTTAGATGTGCCTTCAATGTAAGGTGATTCAGCTTTACTTTTCTTCTGCTGATATATATCTTCTCCTATCTGAGATTGAAGTATTTATTACAAGTCCCTCTTCCGGAAATGTTTGGGCATTTCCTCCTAAATACTTGAAAGTCAGGCAGATGGAGCACTAGTGGTCAGTGAAGGCTGAAATGTAGAATTAATGTTTTAAAACAAAATCCAAATCAGAAAACAGTATTGGGTAATTTAGTAGCTGTGGTACTTATATCTGGTCTTAGTGGTAGAGAATAATCAATATCCAATAGCTAAAAGAGCAAAAGACCAAAATACTGATTTGGTTAGGAACCAAATTAACTCTCAATTAATTAGCACATACAAGAGAAAGATAGAATTGAAAAAATAAATCTTTTAGGCATGTTTAAACACAAATTATAGTGCAGATGTGGATTCCCATGAAAAGTCTCTCAGAGTTTACCAGTAAGAGCTCACTTTCTCAATTTAATAATATGTAAGAGGGAGCCATGTCCCCAAACTTAAAAGCGCTGGGAAACTCAAAATATAATCATTCTAAAACAGTCTCTTCCTGAAGGGACAGCATTTTTTACCTCCAAAGTGGAGGAAAAGACAGAGAATAGATACACAAGCTTAGGCCTTTAAAATTTGAAGGAATCAAACCCAAGGTTTCCCAATGCCATTTAATATACATAAGTTTTCTTTTTCTTTCTTTCTTTTTTTTTTTTTCTAAACCCCTAGCTCCTCCCTATTCTTACATGATTCACCTTTTCCCCTTTGTCACAGTTACAGATTTTACAATTTGAATAACTGGATGAAATCTTCAACAAGTTCAAAAGAAACTTAGCAATTTCTTTCTCATTCTTTGTTTCTAGAGACTGAACTTTCAAGTCTGTTTTTCCCACTCTCTCGTTGGCAGCGCTCTGCACCTGGACGGGATTTGGCCAGTTTTCACAACAGACTTGCTTCCACTTCCCACCTGTTTTTTTCTTCCCTTCCCCTTCCCTTTCCCCTTCCCCTTCCCCTTCCCCTTCCCTTCCCTTCCCTTCCCTTCCCTTTTTTTAATATTTTATTTATTTCTGAGAGAGAGAGAGACTGTGAACAGGGGAGGGTCAGAGAGAGAGGGAGACACAGAATCAGCAACAGGCTCCAGGCTCTGAGCTAGCTGTCAGCTCGAACCCATGAACCGTGAGAGCATGACCTGAGCTGAAGTCGGATGCTTAACCCACTGAGCCACCCAGGTGCCCCACCACCTGCTTTTTTCTAAGGGGGATGCTGTTTGAGTAAGGCTGGGGTGTCGTGGTTTGTCATTTGAGGTCAGGATAGAATGCTTTTTCCTGAACTCTTTTCTGACCTCACCTCCACCTTCTCATTTTCAACTCTAATGCATCCAGGCAAAAGGCCAGGTTCTCCCACTTCCATTCTTCCCAGAACCTCCCATTGCTGCCAGGACTGAATGACTTGTGATATTACTCAGCTACCTCTTTCCTCACCTGTGGACTGGATATCCCTGCCCTCCATCCTCAGCCAAGGCTATGCCTCTGGAGGGCCTGGCTACCTCTCTCTCGCTGAGGTCTGTCAGGCCACCTCTCTTGGGACTCAAAGAGCCCTTGTGATGTAGAGTTGCCTTTTAATAGAATGTTGAAGAAATTGACCTGGGCTACACGTAATTCCTAAAGGGCCCCTTCAGTCGGTAATAAAGCTGCTTCAAAGGCCACCTTTGGGTGGTACAACACAGCTTTCCTGCCTCAGCTTTTGTTCAGCCTGATGTATTTCATTCCAACCCTGGCAATGACACCAGCTTGTTTCTCTGATCAAGAAATGCCCTTGGTAGCCAGTTCTCTGAGGACCCGGAGTGACATGCAGGGGACAGAGATCAAGCATATTGATTCACAGAATCTTAAACTTTTTTGATCCCCTAAAATCTGCTAGTATGTCTCAAGGCCAGCTCCAATGAGTAGATTTTTATTGTTTACCTAGGTCAAAAACCTTTTCTCTCCCATGATAGCATTTACATTTTCTCCTTCCATCACTGTAATGATCTCTTCTTCCTGACACGGAGCAGGGACAATATCAGGTGATGGGGGACTGAGCACGCCACCAGGATGTTCGTTTTGGGTCTGGAGCTGTTTGTCCTCATAGGTCCAGTTTGTCTGTGGGTGCGCTCAGAGGTACATGACACAGAGGGATACATGTTCCTGTCATCTTCGCACCAAAGATTATCTGAACACTATACATGTCCTTAGTATTTGACACCAATAAATAATCAAATCACATAAATTCTACATGGAAGTTCAGAGAAAGGTGACATCAAATGTTCTAAGGCAAAGAGAACTCAGTTTATTCTTGGGTAGCCCTGTTTACAAATAAGGGAACACAGGATTCCAGAGGCATTGTCCAGAGAGGCACAGGGGTAGGGGCCACAGACCAAGGAGGGCTGACTGCAGACCTTGGTTCCTTAATGGGGGTGCCCAGTATAGTCTGATCCAGTTCCACCTGTGTCTTCTGCCCCCGCTTTGAAGCTCCCGAATACTCTCTTTACCACCTTTCCCATGGTAGAGGAGATGTGGATTCTGTCCTTTCCCTACATTCTTCTTCACAGTGTGAAGTGACATGCTCTTATCCATGGCCTAGGGACTGCCTTTTTCCTTACTGTCCCTCCCCTCCCCCCACCTCTCCACCCATAGCATTAGGTGGGAGAGGATGAAGAGTGCCAGGTAATGTAAGCCTGAGGATGAATCCTAACTCCGAGTCGGAGCTATCAGGGGAGACTGGGCTATGCAGGGGAGGATTAGGATCTGGATTGACCTAAAGACCAGAGTCTAGCCCCACAGCTTGGGCCAGGGGTGAGGATTATAGGAGGGACCTGTGGCAAGCATGAGGAGTAGGAGAGGATTGGCCTCAATTTGACAGACCTGGAACCCCAGCCTACCTGGTGCTCACCACAGTACATTCCAGAAGGAGAAAGATGAGGAGGGTGATGACGGAGATCAGGGCTACCAGTTACAGGTTGTGAGGCAGAACAGGCCTCCCTACCACATTATTCTCAGAAGCGGAGAGTCAGGCATTTCCCAGTCCTGCTCAGTCTATGACCTCTGACCTCTGCTTCCCTGACAGCAGCATACCACCCTCGTGGCCTCTCTTTCCAGTTTCATGGACCTGGACTACTGCCTCAAGTTCTCTCATTGCCTGTCGTTTCTTCCAGTTTTACCATGCCTGTGACCAGCCAGGCATTGTGGTTTTCTGCATCATGGACTACGATGTGCTGCAGTTCTGTGATTTCCTGGGCTCCTTAATGTCCGTGTGGGTCACTGTCATTGCCATGGCTCGTTTACAGCCTGTGGTCAAGCAGGTCAGTCCAGAGTGGGCCCTGGGGGACAACGGTAGGCAAAGTGTACTTGAAATTTATTCCCAACCTCTCCCTGGGGTCATTGCCAAGTGCCCCTCTCCAACCCGGCCCAGCCCCTGGAGTCCTCTTTCTCCAGGTGCTGTATTTGCTGGGGGCTATGCTGCTGTCTATGGCTCTACAGCTTGACCGGCATGGACTCTGGAACCTGCTCGGACCCAGTCTCTTCGCCCTGGGGATCTTGGCCACAGCCTGGGTAAGGTTGGGAGGGCTGGGGGCGGGAGGGGGGGGCGCAGAGTCCCAGCAGGACTTGGGTGCAGGGCCCTGAGTGTCTGGTCCCCAGTGTAAGATGGGCTTGGACCCTGTCATCATCACGGCGCTGCTCATGGTGCCCACTCCAGTCGGCAGGTGCCTTCAGGTCGCAACCAGGGCTCCGGGGAAGCCTGAGAACGATCAGTTCTGGCTCAGGTTCCAAGGCCTCGTATTCCTGAGTCCCACTTCTCTGCTTCCCCCAGACAGTACGCAGCGTCCGCCGCCGGCACTGCTACCCACCCACGTGGCGCCGCTGGCTTTTCTACCTGTGCCCGGGCAGCCTTATTGCAGGCAGTGCTGTCCTACTCTATGCTTTTGTGGAGACCCGAGACAACTACTTCTACATTCACAGCATTTGGCATATGCTCATCGCTGGCAGTGTGGGCTTTTTGCTGCCTCCACGTGCTAAGACTGACCACCGGGTCCCATCTGGAGCCCGGGCCCGGGGCTGCGGTTACCAGCTGTGCATCAATGAGCAGGAGGAGCTGGGCCTTGTGGGTCCGGGAGGGGCCACTGTCAGCAGCATCTGTGCCAGCTGAGGGGGGCTTTGGGCCTGGCCCTTGGGGAACATGAACCTTTCCTAGGGGTGGAGAGCCCTTCCTGGGAATGTGGAACCCTTCCAGGGATAAGAGACAGGTTGTATTTCTTGAGGACATGGAGGTTTTCTTAAGGACATGGAGCTCTTCTAGGGGCCTGGCACGCTTCCTGAAGGCTCGGAGTCTTCCTGCATCATCGAGTCCTTCTTAAGGACTGGAGCCTGTGCAGGGCCACAGAGCCCTTCAGGACCAAGGAGTCCCTCCTAGGGTTGTGGAGTCCTTCCCAGGGATATGGAGCCCTCCTAAGGACATGGATTCCTTACCAGGGAGACAAAGCCCTCTCAGGACATGGCATCATTCCCGAGGAAACGGAGTCCACCTTGGGGAAACTGAGTCTCCACATCTTCCCAGCAGCTCAGCAACTCTGGCCTCAGGCTTCCTTCCCAAGGCAGCATCTGGGCTGTGCCATGCTGTCCTGTTCTGGGAGGGGGATCACAGGACAGATGGGGCTGGGGCTGGGGTGGCTGATATTCTGAGTTGATGCAGTTGATGCAGGTGGAGTCTGTTGTGTCTCCAATGAAGTATTCGCTGGTTCTGTGCTGCCTTCTTTCCTGGGGCCAAGGGCGTGGGGAGGAGAGGGTAAGAGAGGGCCTGAGGAAATCAGCAGGGGTGGTGGGAACCCAGCCAGAATGAGCTGCTGGAGCTTCTGCCTGAGGCTTTTGCCCCCTCATGGCAGGCTGCAGCCGCTGGGAGTAGGGAGTTGTGAGTGTGTGAGTGTGTGTGTGTGTGTGTGTGTGTGCGCGCGTGCTGAGATGATTTAAACTAGCAAGACAGACTTCCCTTGTGGTGCCCACACCCAAGGAAGTTGAGGTCTCAGGAAATTGGATCCGCAGGTATAAGTCACAAATGTTCAAGAAACCTCACAGTACGTAACTTCTATTTTGAGTCCCCATTTTGCCTGAGACATGTCCTTTGTCAATTTGGGACTTCTCCTCTTTCCACAAGGGTCACAGCCGAGTCTTAAGGGTCTTATATAATGCAGAGATGTTGGGAGAGTGTTTTCTGGTCACCGGGGTCCACACTACACCCATCCCCTGAGCATTCCAATATCCCACCTGGTCCCCAGGCAGCAGTGCAGGCAGGCCATCCCCAAGCGCCTTCCTGTCCCATCTGCATGGCCCTTTGCAGTGCTGAGGCTCTCCCGACCTCTGTGCCACACACAAGGGCCTGTGAGGCTTCGGCTGCCCTTGAAGCCATGTCTTCTCTGGGAGACTCCTTGGGGCTTCGCTTGACCAGCAAAGCGTGAGTTGCCTGTCTTTCAGGTCCTGCAAACTTTTCCAGAGGTTTGGCCTAGGGATTGAGCCTAGGACCTCTTCCTTTTGGGACCCTCTGTGCCAAAGCCCTCGCTGTATCCCCTCCTCTTCTCTCTTCCTTCTCCTTAGCTTAGGGAATCTTTTAGTAATCTGGAGGTGGAGAAGGCTCCCTTTTACTTCGTTTTTTCTCCCTAATCTTTTATCTCTGCCTGAGGACTCTTCTGTTAAGACTTTAGAGCTTAGGAAGCTCAAAAGCCAGGAAAAAATCCCTTTGTTCTCTGCTTTCTGCAATTTTCTTTTCCTTGGGGGCATTGAGCAGAGTGATGCGGCTGACCGAATGGTGAGCCAAGAGATGTGGGCTAGGTGTCTGTTGCTGTATCAGAAATATCGTTTCTTCATATTATGTTGCACAGAGTCAGGTAACTAGGTTGCATGAACCCAAATAGCTGGGATTCAGAACAGAGTCTGCAGAGTACAGAAGGCACTGAAGAGGGACAGAGAGCTGGGACAGACCACACCTAGCTAGGAGGGGTGAGAAGGGGTTTTCAGGAAGAGGGAAGAAGATTTCAGTGAGGGCTGAATGATTCCATAATGCCAAGATGTTGGGAGAGGGTTCTCTCTGGTCACCAGTGTCCATATTGCATTCCTCCACTGAGATTACTGTCATTCCAAGTGGCCCCCAGTCAGTAAAGCACTTAAGACACAGTATCATGCCTAGCTTGGTCTGTGTTGAGTGTCCAGTAGATGTTAGCTAATCGTCAAGAAGTATCTGGACACACGAGGGAGGAGCAAGGGGGAGACACAGAGTCAGGAAAGACTGATAGTTGTTGGGGAACTGGGAATAGTTTGGCTGGGCCGGGGCCCAGAGAGTGTGTGTGTGGGTGGAGTGGGGCTGAGGCAAACAGCCAGTATGAGGTGGGATGGAGAGGTGGGGTCTGGTTTTTATCCCATGGAAAATGAGTCATTGGAGGGATTTAAGCAGGAGAGTACCATGACCAGTTTGGTGGAATTTTTGTTGTTGTTGTTGTTGTTGTTGTTGTTGTTGTTTTGTTTTTGAATGGGCATTATCTAGTGCAGAGGAAGGATTTTGTAGAGAGTTTTGAGGACAAAAGTGTGTGACACAGCTGTTGCAATATTTAAGACAGAGATAGTGAAGGCTTCTTGAGACAATGTCATTGAAAGCCGGGACACATTTAGGAGCTCTTAGGAGGTGGATTTTCTCCGACTTAGTGACAAATTCGATGTGTGGGATTGTGATGGTCAGAGAAAAGGAAGGTACATCTCTAGTAGCTCTTGGGTTGACTGTAGGATGGTGAGGCAGCCATGAGGCTATTCACAGATCTCTCAGTCTTCCCACTCCTTCTGGACACCTGGTAAGTGTGCTTTGCCTCCCTCTTGATGTTAGCCATAGCATGTGCTTGCATTGGTGGATGAAGTGGAAGTGAGGCTTGAAGAGCCAGCCAGGCTTTGTCATGGTGACTAGCGATGTTCCAGGCGGTAGCTGCCTTCTCATCCTGAGACCCTGAGGGATGAAGACAGTGATTCAGAGCAGACTTCGCCCACCCAGTCTACTGCTGATGACCTGCAGCAAGAGGGAGAAATAAACCCTGTGGGTTGCAGCCATTGCAATTTGAAGCCATTACCACAGTGCACCTAGCCTGTCATGCATGATACAGTTGAAGAGCAACAGGGAAGGTGGGACAATTTCCTGGAGAGCAGGTCTCCCCTTAGCAGGGCTAGGGCAGCAGCTTTCACCTCTGCGTTCCTCAGGCTGTAGATGACGGGGTTTAGTGAGGGGGTCACGACCCCATAGAACAATGCAATAATCTTATCCAGGTTGGGGTCCTTGGCCTTGGGCTTGAAGTACATGAAGGAGATGGTCCCATAGAAAACCACCACCACTGTGAGGTGGGCAGAGCAGGTGGAGAAGGCTTTGCGCCGGCCTGCAGCAGAGGGCACCCTAAGGATGGCAGCAAGGATGAAAATGTAGGACAGGCAGATGAGGAGGAGTGGGGCCAGCGTCAGGACACATGTGGCCACGATTAATAGCAGTGCATTGAGAGAGATGTCCCCACAGGACAGTTTCAGCACTGCCAAGATCTCACAGAAGAAGTGGTTGATGATATTGTGGCCACAGAAGGGGAGGCTCCAGGTGAGAAGGGATTGCAGCAGTGAAATGGCAAAACCTGTCCCCCAGCTCAGCACTGCCATCCACAAGCACGTCTGCCTACTCATGATCTCTGGGTACCTAAGTGGCTGGCAGATAGCCACATAACGGTCATATGCCATCACAGCCAGGAGCAGGCACTCCGTGGAGCCCAGCGCCAGGGTCAGGTACACCTGAAGGACACAACCAAGGAAGGAGATGGTCCTTTGGGCTCCCAGGAAGTTGACTAGCATGAGAGGCACAAAGGAGGATGTGCCGCAGATGTCCATGAGGGAGAGGTTGCTGAGAAAGAAGTACATGGGGCTGTGCAGGCAGGGGTCCAGCACGTTCAGCCCGATGAGGAGGGAGTTCCCCAGCACATTCATGGAGTAGATGCCCAGGCAGAGCACAAACAGGACCATCTCTAGATTATGGTGCTCGTGTAGCCCCAGCAAGACGTATTCTGTCACAGCCGTCTGGTTTGCCATCTCATTCTCCCTCCTTCCCTGTCTGGACCACACAGCTCTCAGAAAAAGCTCTTGCTGGCCTGGAAGCCAAGCAGCCTGGATGTATGCCCTGGGATCAGGTCAGCCCTGCCCCTGCAACTCAGTTTCATCATCTGTGTAACGAGAGGTTGAACCAAAGGCCTGTAAGTTGGTCCTCAGCTCTGCCCTGAGTTGTGATGTAAGTTAGGGAGATGAGGCACATTCTAGACCCCTGGGCTCTTTGTTGTTCTCTCCAGGGTGGGTGCAGTGGAGGCAAGAGTAGGATTCATGTTAGGCACCCTCCTTTGTAATATAAAGAGTTCTTGGCTGTTAAAGGAAGCATCTTTTCTAGGTTATGACTCCGTATGGCTGAATTTTGCTCATGGTATTTCAGATTCATTCATTTGCTGAATGTGTTTTGAATACTTATTCAGTGCTAGGGCTTGTTCAGGTGCTAAGAATACACCAGTAAGAAAAATAAATGGATGGAAACATACCACACCTATCATAAGGTTGCCCTGCTTCTTCCCTGAATTCGGTGAGATGAACTTAGGAAGGCCCATGGGTGATGGGTGATGCTCACCTAGTGTTTCTTTGGGCATTAAGAGTCAAACATTTCCACTCCACAGGATGTGTAAGCCTGATATGTGGTCATCTCTCTTTAAGGAGTGGTAGGCCATTTGTTGATTTTTCCCCCCTTCCTTCATCCATTGATTTTTAGAAGATCATACAAGAACATAAAATTCCACTAGAGCCACTGGTCACAGGTTTTAACCTGTTCATGTAAGCCAAGTGACTCACTTCTTGGCCTCCATATTGCCTTATAGAATAATTTTATTGGCAGTGATGTCTCAGAGGAGAGAAAACCAGGTTCTGATTTGGCAGGGGCGTTGTCATTCAGTGACTAGTTTTAAAAGGGAGGGGTGGGCAGAGGCAGCTGTTCTCTCTCAGGTGGCTTTTGTCACTCTTCTGAGCTGGTGTCATTGCTTCCTTGGAAGCGCCAGTGTCAGGAGAGAGCCCTAAAGTCCCTAAGGCACAGCAGTCCTGTTATGCAGGAAGACTGTCTTATGGCCCAGGTGACCCCTGGTTTAAAGCAGAAACAGGAGCTGAGTGTGACATTTAACATACAGAAGATATAATCACCTCACTCCTGGGATGACTATGAGGCCATTGTCCTGTGACAGCACTGGAGTTCTGTCTGTCAGGACTGGATTTTCTCCCTCATTCTTCTTTCTCAGTGCATCTAGCATTTGTAGGAGCTGATGGGCTCATCCTCTACTGAATAAATCTTGTCTTTTCCCAGTGCTACATCTTGCCCAAGAAGTTCCTTTTTATTTATTTATTTATTTGTTTGTTTGTTTGTTTATTTATTTTTTATTTATTTCTAGGAGAGAGAGAGAGAGAGACAACGTGAGCAGGGGAGGGTCAGAGAGAGAGGGAGTCACAGGCTGAAACAGGCTCCAGGCTCTGAGCTGGCAGTCAGGACAGAGCCCGACGCGGGGCCCGAACCCATGAACCGTGAGATCATGACCTAAGCAAAAGTCGGACGCTTAACCGACTAAGCTACCCAGGCGCCCCTATTTATTTATTTTTATTTATTTATTTTTAAGTAGGCTTCATGCCCAGCGTGGGGCTCAACACGGGGCATGAATTCACAGCCCTGAGATCAATATCTGAGATTGAGAGCCAGATGCTTAATTGATGGAACCACCCAGAAATTCCCTTTTAGAGGCATGTCCTCCCTCCCTTCCCTACTGGGGGCTTTTTGCCCACCCCTTAGGGCCCTGTTCATTCTCTCTGTCTCTCTCCTCCCTCCTGCTCCTTGAGGGGGTTACATGCTCCCTTCTTGTGCTCCCTCAGCCTTTGCCTGTCTCTTTGTGTTCTTCTACAGTGTGTTGTACACCTCTACTAGAGAGCAGGACCCCGTTTCCTTCCCACACCTCCTACGGTGAGTGCTGCCAAGAGTAGTCACTCAACAGATATTCAATGCATGATTCAAAAAGCATAGCTTTGCACCCCAGCGTCACTCAGCACTAATTAGCTGTGCCAGATTGACCAAGCCACATGGCTTATCTGAGACTCAGAGTCCCTTTGAAAAATGGAGGTGCTGTGTAGTTCAGATGAGGCAGACCCGCAAAAGTTCTAGTGAGCTGCCTAGAACCACATGTTGTCTGAGGATCTAGATCGAAGGCTGCATCTTCAGCCACAGAGCACCTGCTGGATCTGTGCTCGCCACCTCCAGGTTCCAATGTCTGTCATGACCTCCTCCATTCCCAGCTCTGCTGCCACTGTTCCCTCCTCTGACCTGAATTAGAGTGATTTTCAGGGAGTTTCTGGAGCATACAGGGGCAGGTGATATATCTGGGTCAGCACTGGACCTTACATCATGTGGATAATGTGAACACTTAGGGTAGAGTTTCTCTTTCTGAGTCTGGCAAAAAGATAAAGAATTGCCTAAGTGTGATGGTGGCTCATTCATTCACTCATTAAACAGATAACTGTGGAGCAGTTAGTTACTATGTGCCACGTCCTGTGCTCGGAGCTGAGAAAACAGCAGAGGCAGGTGTGGCTTCCGCCCTAACAGTTTACACTCATTCCCTCACGTTAGGTGACCTTGGGCACGTCCCTTCTTCTCTCTGGGCTTTAGAAACCTCTGAGGTTCTCTTTCAGTGTGGGTTGTAAAGACAAAATAAAACTTGAAATCTGTAAAGAAGTTAAAAGGAAGTCCTTTTTCTATGTTATGACTTCATGTGTGTGGATTATGCCCACAGCATTTCAGATGCAACAATAACGGTTTGGTCTTTACTGGGTGTGTTTTTACAAAATGAGCTATGTTAACCTCAGATTCTGACACCTGACACAGGTGTGTATGTGTCTGTGTGTGTGTCTGTGTGCATGCATGCACAAAAGGGGGGTCCCCAGTAGGTGAAAGATGAGAAACCACCTGTCTCCACATTTTTCTTCCTCTCTCTCGTCTCTAACAAAAAGACCAAGTGGGATTGGCAGAGGCATTTGAGGGCTTTTGAGAACAGGCTATGGCCTGCCCACTTGCCCTATCTCCCCTCCCACACCTGTTCCAGCCTTACCAGCCCCCTCCCCATTAATGGACAAAGCCCACCTGCTCCTATCTCATTCCTCTTCCCATACTCTTTCTTCAGCCTAGAGTGGCCTGTCTCTTTCACCCTTCAAGGCTCTGCTCTTACACCTCTCCTCTGCACAGCCTGCTCTGATGCCTTCCTAGAACTGACCATCCCAACATCATGATGCTTACTGCTATCAACACAGGCTAACTGCATTCTGCCCTGCATTGTAGTCTGTTGTCTCTCTCTCAAAAGACTGTGAGCTATTTTAATTAAAGGGTTGTTTCCGATTCATCACGGTTACCCTCTGTGCCTGTACCCAGGCAGTATTGATGATTGCCATTTAAGATCTGCTGCAAATCCTGGTCCCAGATGTCTCACTTTGAGATCCCCTCCCCCACCAACACACACACAGCAACAGAGGATGCAGCTGTTGTGATTGCTGGGAGAACTCTGGGGGTGTCAGTCTACTCCCTGTCATGGCACCTGATCTTTCTGAAGAGCTAAGTCAGAGAGTAGTGGGTCTCCTCACAATTTAGGAGTGTGATCATAACACATTCATGGAAATTAGAACCAGCTCATAGGGCAACAGGCTTATGGCCCCAAAGAAATAAGTCAGTGTCTAGAACATGCCATGCATCCAGGTAACCGAGAGCTTTGACTCTGCTCCATGGCCACAAGATGGGACCCCAAGGAGCAGCTGCTGTTCCCTGGATGCCTCAGTTAAGATGAGCTAGGTTTTGCTGCAGTAACACATAATCTTAGTGGCTTACCATGACAAAGGTTTCTTTCTTTCTTATGCTAAATGTCCTTTTTAGGTCTTTAGGGGGCTCTGTTTCATGTTGTCCTCCCCAGAGCCCCTGGCTGATGGAGGCTCCACCATCGGGACATCACAGGGCATGATGGCTGGGGAAGAACACACTAGGGCATTCATACCAGCAGTTAACATGCTCCGCCCCAGAAGTGACATGTGTCACATCTGCCCACGCTTCACTGGCCCTTTGTAATCCTACCACATGGCTGGGAGGAGGAGAACCCGAAATACTGCTGACTATTTGGGTACGATATTGTCTCAGAATACACTCAGTAAACATCTCCGGCATCTATCTGCCAATGTCTCACACTCTGTCATGTCCTGGAAAATCAGCTTCACACAGAGATAGCAAACCGAGTGTCTCTGAGAATAATTGTCTAATTTCACACCCAGGTTTAGACCTCCTGAGAGTCAAGGTGATGCCATAAACCAGGACTGGGAACCTGGGACAGGAGCCATTATTGCCTTTGTTCTGATTCTGCTGTATGACCTTGGCCAAATTTCTCCCTCTGTGAATGGAACCACTCAATTAGATGACCTCTAGTACCCTCTAACCTCTGAAACATCTCCTCTGTCTAGCAACTCCCAACCCTGAGGTCTGACAGTCCCAGGGTTACTTTGCAAGGTAAATATTATATCAATTTCATTGGCTGGCGAATCTAGTTTGAACCATCTGATATTTTATTTTAGGCCTCCCAATCTATTTTAAAAGAAAGGTGATGGGCATAAGAGGACTGAAGCTTCTGTTACAAGTTCCCTGACACGACTGGATCTAGGATTCCTGTTTGACTACTTCCTCGCTGGATGGCAGAGCAGGTGAGTGTGGGCTTTGGAGTCAGACCAGCCAGGGCCCAAGTCCCAGACCTGCCACTTGCTGACAGCTTTCTGAGCCTCACTTCCCTTACCTGTAAAGTGGCGATAAGAATAGTGTTTCCTTGTGGGGTTGTTTTAAGAATCCAGTGAGGTGAGGCATGCAGAGCTGCCTGGCACATGATAAATAATCAGTAAGTGGTAGCCGATAGTACTAATATCATTATGTCCTCTTTTGCAAGCAAGTATTCTGGTTTTCATATGTTGAAAAAAGATTTCATGAGAATAGTCCACATGCTAGATCAATTGTCCTTACCTCACACCGATTGCCCAGTGACATTAGCACCTGCAGGTGGCTGGAGCAGGCTGCCAGGTGTGCTGACCCAAGGCTTGGGAGACAGAGTCACCAAGTGCTGAGCTCATTACCAGCAGACACACTGTTCTGGGATGGGCCAGGACCAAGGCCTTCAGGACCAGCCTCTTGGTCCCCTGCCACATAGTTCTCCTGTTCTGGGCCCTGGGGGACCTCTCAGTCCCTGCCCAATTTA